TATAAATGGCTTTATTGAGGGCTCATGAGGACATATGAGGGATTATTTTTTGTGTAGAGTGTGGCAGCGATATGATTGTGATAGTCATGTGAAGATGGCTGTATGTACAAGTTGTCATATACGGCATTTATTCGTGTAAAATTCGATCCATGGTAGGCATACGAAAGTCAGCTTGGCCGAGTGGTTAAGGCGTTAGCCTGCTAAGTTAATGGGGCAACCCGCGTGAGTTCGAATCTCACAGCTGACGATCTTTTTTTGTCCCACCCGCCTAGCGATCATTCTTGTAGCCTCTCTCAAAAATCATTCTTTTATCATTTTCTTTATCATTTTTGAACAATTCAAACCAACTCCATGCTGCATTTTCTCGTCATACTACCCACTCTCACAAAACGTCAACGAGACATCTTTCTACTTCTCCACCAAGTAGTACTAAAATACACAAATTTTCAAGTTACAAAGTCGTCGTTGGTTGAACCGAGATCTACGCCTTGGCGCCACAGGGCGCTAAAACGACCATACTACCTCCCTCTCGACTTGATGACGGTTGTTAAAAATATAAAATAACCTTTGTTTTCAATGGCAATACCATTTCTACGAAGTTCAATTAACTATATATTCTTTTCCGGGCTTTGCAGGCGCTGCAAGTGGCGACACGCTTCGTAAAGGCCTTCCAGGCTTGCATACGACAACAATGCAGTTTGCACGCCGGTGGTATACAAATGTACTCATATGGTTCGCTTCTTTGCCCCATCCGAGGCGCCCCGTTTCTTAGGACGCACCAAGATCACGCTGCCGATCGTCCTGCACCGCGACCTCCAGTCGCTGATGCCGCCTCAGTCGCTGGCGACTCCCGACGACCATGGCAAACTGCGTGGCTTTGCCGCCGACCGCGACGCCTGGAAAAATTTGACCGACCGTATCATCACGGGCCTCACCCGCGGGCACAAGCGTCGTAGGGCAACGACAGACGAGCCCCGCACCGCCGCCTGCGCAGCCATGGACCGGCAAGCGAATGAAGAAGAAGGAGATTGCTAGTCTCTACGTATGCGAAGTCTTTGTGTAATTATGAAGATAACGCGAAACACGTTCATATATAGATGGTTTGACGAGCTTGACACTTGCGAGGACTCAAAGTACAAAACTTTTGGGTGCGCTCAATCGGGTGCGGTTTTTCCTCTCTGCTGACCAAGGTGCGCTTCTCTTTATTTTCACCGTTTTACACCGTGTGTCTTGGTGGTAAATTCCCCCTACAAGGAGCAAGATGACCCGGGTACAAATCATATCCCACGTCCCATCATTTTCTGCCGAGCGATGGACGACGCTGAGGCGCTGGCCGCGGTCGACGGCGCTGTCGCGCGCCTCAAGGACGCCGGGGACGTGGCAGCCGCATGGACGCTCCTTAGCCCTCACAACGCGATCTACTGGGCGGACGAGGTCGACGAGGCCAGCCCGCCGGCGCCGGCGGCGACGCCCGAGTGGCGCAAAGCCATTAGCTTTGCCGACTGGATCGACGCGCTGCACCCAAAGGACCGCCAATGGAGCCGCGCGCAGGTCATCGAGGAGCATGAAGAGATGTTCCGCATCAGCTTTGAGAACGGGATCGACGACGACATTTGGGTCGATCGCCAGTCGGCCGACATTGCACCCGACGGCTCCAAGCTTAACGAGCCGTGGCGCAGCCGCCTCCAGGTCGGGGACCTTGTCGACTGCATGGACAACCATTTCTTGTGGTTCACATCGACCGTGCTTTCGGTGTCGCCCGAGAAGATCCTCATCGGATACCGCGTGTACTCGATGGACGGTGACCAGGTCGATACACGCGGCCGGTACTCGGGCTACGACGCCGAGTTTGACCAGTGGTTCGACCTCAAGTCGCACCGGATCGCGCGGGCGTACACCAAGGCCGACGGGACATTGCACCGCAGCACGCTCCCGTCGGCGGACGCCGACCACGTCTTTGCCAACGCCGCGCCGACGCAGCGCTGCCGGTCGCCGCTCCTTCTCGCGTCGCTCAACCGGTTCGGCGCGGCCCAAGGCTTTTCGTTGCTGCTCAATGCAATTCCCGCGCTCTCGATGGCTGAGCTCAGCTGCGTCCTCGAGTGGCTCCTCGACATTACCGAGTACCTCACGCAGCCATTCGCAGCCGCGTACCTTGTCGACGTTGACGCAGCCATTGGCGCCAACCTCCTCCTGCATCTCCGCGCCGACGTGCGCGCGATCTCGATCGACGTGGTTGCGCACTGGGCTGGCCGCCTCCAATCACTCCTCTCCCATGTGCTCAACGCCAACGGCACGGCGCTCCGCCTCGATACATGGCTCTGGTCTGTCTACATGGTGTACATTCGGTGCCCGCTCCTCGAGCGACAATTCCAAGGCGTCCAAAAGATGGTCGACCTCGTGCAGAGCTTTCATTACCGCAAGCGGCAGCACCTCGACGCGGCGCTCGTCACCGAGTGGTTCCACCGTGATCTCATCCTCGATGTGCTCCTTCGATCGCACGCCGAAGTGCTCCAGCGCGCGCTCGAGCTCTTCCGCTTTGGCGTCCAGCAGCGCGTCGTGGCCATGTCGACGCTATGGGCTGTTGTCCTCGACCCGGCCGCTGAGAAATCCCGCGTCTCGCTCCTCTACTCGTTTCTCGTCGAAATGGCCTCCGTGTTCGCACCGGACCAGCTGTTGGAGCTCTGGCGGCTCGTGCAAGCACTCGACCTCGCGCTGTACAGCGACGACACGATCACGTAAGCGCCTCTGAAGATAGAAACATCGAGTGGATCTGGTCGCTTAGGTGGCTCGTCCGGCTCCACAAGTGGCTCGGGATCCGCAGTGTGGACGCTTCGGACGGACCATCGACGCAGGACCTTTTTTGGGCCATTTTGCAGCACCCAACGCTCCCGGCGTCCGTCCAACTGGCAGCCCAGCGCGGGCTTGTCGACGCGTTGAGTGCCATGGACATGAAGGTAGCCACCTTGAGCTCGCGAAGACTTCCGAACTGAGAGGAACCTAGACGCCGCGCCAGGACAACCTGCTTCGGTGCTTGACCAACCTCGCGGCCTCGACTGCGGTCGTGCCATCGCTTGAGATTGCCGAAGCGCTCCTCGAACAGCACCCGCTCATCTCGTACACGGCGTTCACCGTGCCAAGGGGTTTGGCGTTTTCGCAGCTGCCGGACGTGGTGCCACGCGTTTTGCATGTGCTGCCGGCGTACCCCGACGCGGCCTTTCGGTTTCTCTCATTTGTGACGCCGCTCGGAGTGACGTTTACGGACGACGAGCTGCGGTTGCTTGTGTCGTTGCCGCCCAACGACGACGACCGCCTGTTCCCGTTTCTCTCGGGGCTCTGCGCGTCGCTGCCCTTGACGCAGTCGACGTTTGTGTTTGAGTGGTTCTTGGCGCACGTTTCGGCGCCGTGGCCACTGCCGCGCTTCCGCTGCTTGGAACAGTATTTTCTCTCGCTCAACCAAGCCCACGGCAAGCTCGTGCGGAGTCTCTGGGACGATTCGACGCTCTTCCACGCCCGCGTGCTCCCGCACGACGTCCTTGGGATCGACGCGCTCTGGCACATTGCGCTCAACGCCGACAGTCTCGAGACCGTCAACGCGGTCGTGCCGTGTCTCCACGCGCTGTACCACGACACAGACTCGCCGCTCGTTCAGGAAGAGTACATGGACCAGTGCTGCGCGCACGCGCGCGTGGCGGCTGCCAATGCCAACGCACCGGCGGTTGCGCGCTGCCTGCACCTTCTGCAGCACATGGTCGGGCAGTGGGAAGCGGTCGAAGTGTGCTCGCCGTTCACGCGGCCGCACGGCGCCTTGTCGAGCCCGAGCGACGCGTCCTTGGAGCTGCATTGGAACGATCAAGTGCTCGCGATCACGTCGTCGACCACCATTGGCGAAGTTCAGGCGGCGATCGCGGCCATCTGGAAGGTGCCGGTGGGCGCAGTCGTTCTCGACTGGCGCGATGCCAATCGCACCCACCGCGTCCCGAGCCTCCAGGTGCAAGCGCGCCAAGGCATGCTTCCAAACCTCTTGGAGGCCAAGTCGAGCACCCTCTTGCCGGCGGTCGCCGCGGTGGCAGCGACATGGTATGCCGACCGCGCGACGGCGATCGAGCGCTACAGCAACACGAACGTGTACGTTATGTTTCGCGGCCAAAACGACGACCACAACTATGACCTCGACGAGTGGCTGCATTTCATTGCGTCAGTCGCGTCGTTGTATCCGAATCTGGTGTGGGCGCACCTCATCGAGTCGGGCTTTCCGCCGGCGCCGACCAGTCTCCGCTTGCGGCTCGTCGACAAGTACTTTGGCCTCTTCATGGACGTGCTCGACGTCCTCGAGCGGTCGCAGCACGATGCGTCGGCCATGTGGAACCTCCTGCAGCGTCTTCCGTCGCATGTGGTTGCCATCGACGAGCCGATTTCGATTTGCCGCCCGCATCTGGTCTTGTACCAGCTGCAGATTCTTGCTGCTTGCCCGCGGGACGTACAACGCATGACGCCGGCACTGGTGTCAACGCTCATCGATCTCGTCGGTGTGTCTTCGCTGGGGCTGCAAGCGCACGCGTATCTGCTCTTGGTGCTCCAACACCACACGGCACTTGACCTCCCGCGCCTCGTGACGCTCTTGCGTATGGTCGCCTCGTCGGCCGACATGAACATGCTCGAGGTGCGCCAGCTGCTCCAGTCAGCGTGCTACATGTGGACGCAGCACACGGCGGCGCTAGCTACAAGTACAAGCGAGCGCGATGGCATTGACACGGCGCTGCTGCTCGAGCTGCTCCAGTGCCCGACGAGCGCTGGTGTCCGCAGCGACATGGCCGCGATGCTCACGGCGTCTCCGCCCCTTTGGACGTTCTCGTGGCTGCCAGCGGGCTTGCCGTCCGCGACCTGCACCGAATATTTCGCTACACTCCTCGCTGTGCTGCAGCAAGTGCCGGTCGACGACCGCTTGGTCGTGCGCGACGCGACGCTGCATCGGCTCTCGGCGACACTCGCGGCGCCGAACGCGCCGTCGGCCGATGACGTAGTCGCGGGCTGCTTGCAGGTCCTCACGCGCATGCCGCTCGAGTGGGCGGTTGTCGCACCGCTGTACACGGCGTACCTCAACACGCACTGGTCGCCCCGCTGTCGGCACGAGATGTACAGTCTGCTGCAGCATTTTGGAACGCCGATGGCGATGCTTCTCGAATCGATCTTTCCGCAGTTGCCGACGCTCGAACACTTTGCGACTGCAGTGCCCAGCGCTTCCTCGTCGCAGTCGCTTGTCGGCTTGAAGAACAATGGCAACACGTGCTTTCTCAACAGCATTCTGCAGCAACTGTACTACATCCCGTCGTTGCGATCGGCCGTCTTGCAGCTGGACGCAACCGACGCGTCGCCGTTGCTGCAAGCGCTCCAGACGTGCTTTGGCCACCTCCAAGCCTCGCGCCGACCCGAGTACAGTCCGCTCAGCGTGTCGCAAGCGTCGCCGTTTGAAGCCGGCGTGCAGCAAGATGCGCAGCAGCTCTACTTGCACATTGTCGATATGCTCGAGGCCGTCGGGCTCCATCATATCCTCACGGGGTCGCTCTTCCACGAACTCGCGTTTGAGAGCCAAGCGCGTCGGTCGAGCGAAAACTTTTGCTGCGTCTCGCTCGACGTCCAGAACCTCCACTCGCTCGACGAGTCGCTTGCTATGTGGGCCAAGCCCGACGCGATCTCGGGCTTTGATTGGGATGCCGAGCACACCAACGTGCACATTACAAAGCAAGCGCTCTTGCATGGACTGCCGCCGTACCTCGTCGTCCATCTCAACCGGTTCACACTCAACTACCACACGTTTACGACCGAGAAGATCAACTCGGCGTTCGCCTTTCCGCTCGAGCTCGATGTGAGCGCCTATGTGGCCGACACGAAGACCGCGCCGCTGTATACGCTGGTGGGCATTGTCGTGCACAGCGGCACGGCGCAGTCGGGGCACTACTACTCGTACGTGCAGACAAACCGCGGAACGTGGATTGAGTGCAACGATGCAATCACGCGTCCGTGGCATCTCGAGTCGCACCTCCAAGTGGACTGCTTTGGGTCGGCGACGAGCCAGAAGAGTGCGTACATGCTTTTGTATACGAACGCGCCGGACGCGCACTATGACGCGCCGTCGTCGCCGTTGCCACCACTGCTGCAAGCGACGATCGACGACGACAACCGCCGGTGCGCGCTCGAGGCACACTTTTTGCAACCAGATTTCTACAGCTTTTTGATTGCGCTGCTCGAGACGACCGCGTCGCTCTCGCTCAATTTGGTGCTGCTTGCGACCGAGTTTGTGTGGCACAACATTGCGAAAACGACGGAAACCGCGCTCTTACCCTCGGTGCTCGAGCGCTTGCTGCCGCTCTGGACACCCGACATGGCGACGCGGTCGCTCGACGAGCTCTTGAAGGAAGCGCCGTTGTTTGTGCTTTCGTGCCCTGACGTCTTGGTGCGGGAGGCGTACGTCGCGTTTGTGTTGCACGTTCTCGGCCTGTGCCCGCTCGGCCGCCGCCGCGCCGCGTACGACGTCATTCTAGGCTGGATACCCGCGGTCTCGACGCAGTGGATGCGCATGGAGCAGTACTGGACGCTCGTGCATCACATGGCTTCGAACGACATCGAGTGGTTCGTCGCGCGGGAGACGCTCGCATGGTGCCACGCGTTTGTGTTGGGGCAGCCGACGTCGCTCGTTGTCGATGGCGTCCGGACGCCGTTGATTCCGCACTCGACCATCATGGGCAACAATTTTCTCGTGCCCAAGCTCGGTCCGCTCCTCGATCTCATGGTGCTCTTGGCACCCACATCGAACGCGACGGCCGTCTTTTCGCTGGCGTTTTTCCAGCGGCTTTGGCACTGGCTGCCGCAAGCCGATGACAAGATGGCGACGGCGCTCAACCGCGTCATTGCGTGTGCGTGCAAGGACAATCGTGCGCTGTCGCTGAGCCTCTGCGAGCTCGTGCTCTCGACGCTCACGCACGGCAGCGTCGTCGGTATCGCGAATGCCCTCTTGGCGCTCGTGACGCTACTGCGCCTCCCCGATGCTCTGCAGCCGCAGCGGCTGCAGTGGCTTTTGGTGCGCCGTGGCGCGGCGCCGCACCACTGGGGTCTCTTGTACGCACTGTACTTTGGCCGGCTGAGCCATCTTGCGTGGTGCCACAAAGTACTCGAGACGCTTCTCGTGCTCAGCGACGAGCTGCCACCGCTCTCGCAGCTCCTCGGCAGCCTCTTTCCAGTGCAGTTGCACCACGCAACGTTTCTCGATTGGGTCCGTGACGCGCTCGGATCGACAGCGACGACGGCGACCGCCATCGCGTCGATCCCGATCACGACGACCAACCACATTCCATTGTCGTTGCGCTACAAGCGCTTCCAAGTGTGGTCGCCGCCCGAAGACCGGGTCTTGGAGCACCGGCCGATCGCGTACGAGCCCGAGCTCATCAAGCAAGACGAGAAGGTCGAGCTGCTCTTGCAGGCGTGGCAGTACGGCGAGGTGCTCGAGTTTCACGTAACGAATTCGCGCCAGACGCCGGTCGTGCTCACGCTGGACGTGCAGTCGCCCGCGCCACTGTACCTCGTGCGCGAAGTGCCCGCGCTCACGATTTGCGTGCTCTATTCGATGCCTGCCGGCAACCTGGCGCTGCAGTGGACCGCCGAGGGCTACGAGGGTGCGACGACCACGTCGACGGCGTTGGTTCCGGTGCTGGAAGCGACGACCCGGCCGCGCCACGACTCGCTCGATACCATGGGCGCCTTTGACGAAGACGAGAGCTTGCCGGCGCTGGCCGACCCGACGCCGAATTCGTCGGCCGAGCCGCGGGTGTGTCCCCGCTGCACGTTCCACAACGAGCCGTACAGCATCCTCTGCGACATGTGCGAGGCCGACCTCGATGGCATGCTGAGCGATAGCTTCTAGTCGTCGATTTTGTATTGAATGATTTTCTCGGTGTTTCCAGATGACTTAGGACGCGCTGTATGTGGCCGAGACGCACCGCTTGTCGAGCTCCTTGCAGTGGTCCATGAGCTCGAGCGGCTCGCTTTGCATCGCTATGTCGGCGGCGGTAAAGCACCCGCAACGCCCGCCCACGTGCTTGCGCGGAAACTTGTTGGGGTCCTGGCACCACACGACGCTACCTTCGCCTGCTTTCCATTCCATGTTGCACGCCTCGATGGCTGCGGCCGCGTCTTCGGCGGCCTTGGCTGCCCGAATGCGCTCGCGCAGCGCCTGCATGAGTGGCGTCGCGTGGCCAAACCTAGACATGACGGTTTGGACGCGTGTCGAGCATCCAAGTACGTACTTGTCGTAGTAGACGCCCTCGACCGTGCCCATGCGCGCGTAGGCCTTGTTGGTGTCGAAGAAGACGAGCCACCGATGGACATCGAGCAGCTGCTTGTCTGTAAACGAGCTAGCACCATCGTCATCGTCATGGCCATGAGAAGGCATGCGACGCATACCTCACGTCATCGCCGTCGGTAGCGACGCCCGAGCTAAACGCGCGGCTGCGGTCGACGCCGATAAAGTGGCGGTACGCGCCGCCGTCGCCGTAGTGCTTCTTGCCCGCAGAGACATCAAACACTTGGCCGAGCACGGCGAGGAAGAGGCGGTCCTGCTCGACGCCGTTGAAGAGCGCGAGCTCGGTCTTCGTCAAGCGGTACTCGTGGTGGCCGCCGGGCACGCGCGGGCCGTGGCTAATCGCATGCAGCATGCGCGCCGTGTCGTCGTGGCTGTTGATGACGTGCATGGACGCAAAGAGGAGCGCGCCGAGGCCGACCATGATGAGCGGCAGCCACACCCAGAGCACCTTGTCTTGCTCGTCGAGGCCCGCGTCGCCCGCCGATACGCCCTCGTCGGCGTCGTCGTCGCTCTCGTTGCGGAGGTCGTCGTGGCGGCGCTGGCGCAGCTCCATCTTGAATCTTGAAAATGCCACGTGGCACCCATTGGCTAAACGCACGCCATTTGGACTTGACCAGAAAGCCATGCGACGAACGTTGGCCGGTGCTAGTAGCCGCTGGACGAGCTTGCTCACTGTCACTATACTGCTACTTGGACAAGTAATGGCGGCCCTTGCAATGGTGCGCCATACACATGCAGCAGCATGAACGAAGCTAGCAATCTTGGTCCGCCGGAGATGGTAACTGCCTCAGCGAAAAAGGACGTCTGCCGGTTTCAGCCCATTCGGGTGATGGATGACCCATGGTGGTATCAGCGAGCAACGCGAGCGACGACGAGAGCAATGGCATTCGACGTGCAATCGAGAGCGTTCAAGCGGCTGCCCTTTGCACGATGGCACTACCGTCCCGACCCTCGCGACAGCGTACGCTCCACCTCTGTAACCTGAGGCACAATGGTCATAATGTCATAATGGCGACAGCTTGTCAGCGGCCGCCGCGCGCCGCGTGTCACCGACCTCCGAGCGCGCCGCCGACACGACTTTGCACAAAGTTTTCCCGCCAAGCGCGCTTTGATACGCGGCTTGCCGTCTACAGTACGTCGTCTGATCAACTATGGTAGCTTTATCGTCTTGTAGCAACACCGGGGCCAGGTGCGTACGACAGCAGCCACTGGCGTCTCGATGGCCCACGCGCCAATGCGTTCATGGCCCTTGCTGAGGTCCACCGGGCGATCGAGCCGTCGCTCGCCACGGGACCAGGCCCTGGCGCCTACACGGTGAATAGCCAAGGTCCCCGGACACCACGTGCACCCCGTGCAAGCATGCACCTCTCGCGTGCGCCACCGCCCGAGTCGGACACGCGACCGCTGCCAGCACCCCGTACATAGTCGTGTCCCTTCTACGGTGTTGATCGATTATGTGTAGGCTCGAGCTTTGCGTCGACACCGCAGTCGTCGTGGAACCACTCGCCTCGGTTTCGCCGGACGTTTTTGGCGCCCGCAAGCCAACCGAGTGCTGCCGACACGATCGCAGCCGTGCACTCGCCACAGGTAGCACACGGTCCGAGGCCCGACGACATCAATTGCTTCTATAGTCGACCGAGTTTCGAGCCCGCCGACGCCGCCTCTGGGCGAGCATTCTCTTGACAATCGAGGTGCATACGCGCTTCTTCCTCATTGCGTGCCAGTACCGAATTTGCCACCGGCTCGTTCTCTGCCTCGAGCGACGACGGCAGGCGGTGCACGCGGCCCTTCTACGGTGGCACCGCGCGACGGTCCTGCACACGCGCCACGTGACGCAGCACATTATCCACCGGCTGCTGTGGCCGGTACACATGATAGACCTCGTAGTCGGTTGAGAACCCATCGACGTGTAGCGCCTACTGCAGGCCCGCGGCACGTTGCGACTCCGCGCGGCGACTACGCTGCGCAGCTTCTTGACGTGGGCGACGAGCCGACCAGCCTTTCTGAAGGCCTTGCGACGGTTTATCGACCGCGTCCGACGCGTCCAAATGTGGTGGCGAACCCTGTACCGATCGGTGCAAGGCCACTTGGAGCTGCTGCACTTGCAGTGGCATGCCCGGGAAGTCCACCTCCGGCGCACGGCCGTCGCGCAACGCAAGGCGGCGCCTTTTCTACCGTTTCACGTGCTCTGGCACGTGTCGCCGACGACAGTAGCCTCGTCAATTTTACCATTGCGATAGACCAACAGGATTATCGCATAGACGCGCAAGCACTTTACGTTGACGAGCCAAGGACACTTGTACGGTCGAGTCGACGCCGCCGACGACGGCTTCTTCCTCTCGGTATGTACAAACCACGGTTCTTATAGGTGATCGACATGGATGCTCCAGTGTACGCCGACGGCCGCCGAGCTGCTGCCACGACCCCACGGACGTCCGTTCTTGGTGGTCTACCTTGAGCAAGACAAAACACGCTGTCTCGTGTTGACATCGGACGCAACGTCCGAGCTCCACCTCTGGCTCAACAAACTCCTCCTCAGCATCGAGCTCCGACTGGCGCTGGCCACTGAAGTCGACGTGACGAGCTTGCGCTGCCAATTGCGCCTCAAAGCGCTTCGCGACAAGCGGCAGCTGCGCACGTGCGCGTATTCGAGCGATTTGATGTTCTGTGTCGGCGACCTCCTCGGGTACGTAGGGCCATTTACGATACGGAGTCCAAAGGACGCGGGTAGCGACCGTCCGTGGTGCGACCCCGCGCTGGTACACGACGCGCTTCTCCACGTGCACCGACGTCGACGGCAGGAACACCTGAAGCAAATGACCAAGTATCGACTCGGGCAGTGGAAGCTAGCCCAGAAACAACACAACATTGTACGTAACCAAAGCCAAACGAGTCAGCATGGAAAGGGGATACCATCTAGCACCTGCGGAAGCGAGCGCTTCAGCACCAAGCCAGCAGCTTCGTACAAAGATGCAAGGAGGTAAGGCGAATGACACGCGATGCGTAGGGCCTCCGCGCCGTCCCGCGCCCACGCTTGCGCCTGCTCTTGCCACAGTGCGAGCTCGATTCTCTCATTGAGCAGGTATGAAGACCCGCCAGCGCTGAAGGGAAAACGCACATCAAACTGTAGGCTATCGTTCAAACATTGACGGGCGGCACGGCGCCGCTTGCGACGCTCTGCTATCTGCCGCCACCGCCGCCCGAGCCGAGCACGGTCCCCTTGTTGCCTCTGCTGTAGCTTGATGCTATTCCGAATCAAGCAACACTGTTTTGCGTGTTTGAACCAGTGGTACCTAGTGTTGGCCACCCTTGGCTGTCCCGTGGATGGCTGCGCGACCGTTGCTCATGACCCTTACCCTACCCCTACCCCATGGCGGTGGGCTAAACCAAGGGTATACCTTTAGCTAAAAGAAGCAAGGGACCCTGACCCTAGTCCGGTCCCTTAGTAGTTGGTGCGTGAAGGACCAAGAACGACTGGACTTGCATTCATACACACAGCTTAACACTCTAAAGCACAGTTGTCTACGCACCGAGGTACGGGACCCGGCTCGACGCACGCAGCAGCGTCGGCTTGGCGGTCCACTGCGCATAGTCGTGGAGGAGCTGGCGCAGCGCGTCCGCCTCGACGCAGAGGCCCACGAGGGTCGCTTGGGTCGTTTGAACCGCGATCTTGTCGCCGTTGCCGCTCACGCTCGCCACGTCGGCGTGTTCCCAGCTCATGACGACCGTCTCGGCCTTGAGGAAGTGGATGCCGTGGCCGTTAACGCCGACGCGGCACGACGCGTCGCCGACGAGATCAAACACATTGGTGAGCGCGCTGCTTTTGCTGCTCGCAACACGGTCGATCGTGAAAAAGTGACTGCCGTACAGCCGGTGCTTTGTGACTTCGTCCATGAACCGGTCTTGCCACTCGGCCAAGCTCAGCTCGGCGGCAAAGCGCGAGAGGTGCGCGAAAATGAGCTCGGCCCACTCGTCCTCGGTCTTCTCCACGTGCCACGCCGGTGGGAGGTAGTCGTACACGTTCATATCGAGCACCTACAAGTATACAATCAGCCAGTGTGCCATCGTACAATGGAGAGCATACCTCGTCTTCGCTCGATGGCGTCAGGTCCGGGGACGTATCGATCAGCATCGCGTACGCCGCGAGGCGCACCAACGTCTCGGCATGCGTGTACGGCAGTGCCGACGCCGTCACAATATCGTCCATGGCTTGCAGGTACAAGAGCCGGCGAAAGAGATCGTCTTCGACCAAGGCGAGTGGCGGCAGCAGCCGCACCTTGAGAACGAACCGAAGGCGGGCCGGGCGGCGGCGGTGTCGGATCGGGTCGTAGTAGACATCGCAGAGGTACGCCAATGGATGGCACCACGTCGCGGTCGGCGCGTCATCCGACAAGAGCGCCAACCCGAGCAAGCGTGAAAGGTCTTCGCTCAAATGCAAAAAGTGGGCGCACACTTGCACGACGTTCATGACGCTGAGCTCGGGCGAGACAGGAAAGTTGGTCGTCAACAGCGTCCCGTCGAGAAGCTCGATGCTCGCGACAAACGGCGAGCGCAATTCAAACGACTGGAGCTCACCGAGGCTTGGAAGAAACCCTTCGGCCGCGCTGTCGCCCTCGAGGCGGGCAAGGCAGTACTGGGCGACGCCGCGGGCCTTCATGAGCGCCAGACGCTGGTCGAGGGGCGTATCGTCGTCTTGGACCATTCTCGGCTCGTCGTCCACATACTGGTCGTCGTCGCTGTCGGTTGTCGTCGTCCCGAGCCGACGCCGACTCGTGGACGAGGCCACGTCCTTGGACAAGAACGCCACGAGGTACGGGTGCAGGCTGGACGAAGGTCGAAAGCACGTCAAGCACAGTCCGAGGAGGTCCCAGCCGCGCCGGACGCTCTCGCGGCGCGGGTTGTTGGTCAGCTGCTTGACTAACTGAGCGAAAATCTCGTCGACGAGGTGCGTGTGGGCCAACCCGATTTGCAAGATGCTCTGCGCAAGCATCTCGCGGAACGACATGACGCGGTCGCGCATGTAGCCGAGGATGCACCGATGAATGTACACGCTGTGGTGCGCCGGGATACTTGCAAGCACCGGCTGATCGAGTACACGGTATTCCCACTGGAACGGCGGCGGGTTTTCGTCGCGAAGCACGCGAAGACCGGGGTACGTTGCCATCTCGAGGGGCGCGCCATTGGTCGACGCATCGACGATCGACGAGGACGGCGTCTCGTCCACTGTCTCGTCGGTTGCGGCCACCGAGAGCTTCCGGAGGACGTCTTGGGCTGCCGACAAGAGCACGGCGTCGACGCCGGCGTCCGACGCTTCGTCAATCCCTTTGGCCAGCGCACGGGCATTGACGGGCGCCTTCAAGAGCTTTTCGAGCTTGGACCGGTTCGTGAGCGCACGCTGGAGCCGCTTGGTGATCGAGGCGGCGGCGTCCAGTGCGGCGTGTGCGTTGGTGGCCCCGAGGCTCGTCACAAGTTGGGTCTGGGACGCAAGGAGCGTCAGCATGTCTTGCCGCACTTCCTGGCCGTGGTCCAAGCGGAACGCGAGGAACGTTGTCCAGTGCATAAGCGCTTCCACGTTGCGCGCGGCGTCGAGGCGCTGGAAGAGATCTTTGGCGACCGATGCAAACTGCGGTAGGACGCCGAGCTGTGCCGCTTGCTCAAGCTGCGCTTCGGGCGGGAGGTCGTGGATCGCGGCAACCGCCGCTGCCCGCGCGTCCAACGCCGCCACGATCGCCTGCACGGGCGAGTCGGCCGACGCCGTCGCGCGGACGCCGTCGAGGTCCTTGGCCACGAGACGTCGCCACGCGTCATCGTCACTGGGGGCAAACGCCGTCGCATTCGCCAACGCCGCTTGCGCCTGCGTCGCCCGCTTGACGTTGGCGTCCCACGACGCCATGCCCACAGCCTTGCAGCGCTTGAGCGCCGCTGCCAAGAGCTGTGGATGCCCGGCTTCGATCGCAAAGTCGATGAGCTCAATCGCTTGGGATCGCTCCAGACTCGGCTTGAGGAGGACCTTTTCCAAGAGCTGCGCCGCCGCGTCCTGCAGCGGCGACGGCGGAAAACCGGCCTCTAATAAAATGCCCAAGCACGCCTCGATTGTTGTCACCGACTGCTTGGCGACGGCCTTTTCGAGGACGGCCTCGACAGCACTGACGTCGCCGGTGGACCCTTGCTCGCGGAGGCACGCCCAGGCGTCCCAAGACGCAGCCATCATGTCCAAGAGGGCATCGCCCAAGCCAAACTCGATCGCACGTGCAATGCCTTGGGTCCACTCGGTTGCACTTGCCCCTTTGGTCGGCAGACCGATGAGGACAGCATCCTTGACCTTCCTCGTCTCAAGCGCGCGGATCATGACCATCGTCGCCACTTGGCGCTCGTCCGAGCCGCGGCTTTCTTGCTCCGAGAGCAGCGCCATGAGGCGGGATGGGTCGGCCGTCGACGACAGCATGGCTTGTCGCAGCGCCGTCATCGCATTGTCCATGGTCGTCTTGTGACGCAAGCGCGTCGACGCACTCTTGAGCATTTCGGGCTTCCACGACGGACTCAGCGTCGTCACCGTGTGCAGCGCAAACTGCAGTACAATCTTGACGTCCATTCGGAGCGCGTCGTCCAAGAGCGACACCAAGTACGACTCTTCCTCAATCTGGTGCAGCATCGCCGTGGCCGACACAAGGAGGCGGACCTGCGCATTCGGGTCGACCCACGTCTTTGCAAACGCCAGGCCTTGCTGAATGCCGGCACGGTCGCGGGTGTGCATGGCGTCACGCAGACTCTGTAGGCCATGCCGGCGGCGCAGACAGAGCTTGCGGTACACGCCGCGCTGCAAATTCCGCTGCAGCATGGTCGCATTGGCGTTGAGGCACACCTCGCGGACCTTTTCGAGCTTCTTGCGCTGGTGGAGCGTGAGCCACACTTGGTTGTTGTCGACGCGCCACGTCAGGTCTTCGAGGACGCCAATCGCCGTGAGCGACCGCACGAGCGACTCGAGCGTGTTTCGGTGGCCGCAGAGGTGCCGATACCGCGCAAAAAAGTGGGGCGGCGTCATCTGCACCGAGAGGTTCCGCTGCGACGCGTGCATGAGCGCGAGGACCTGGAACGACCGCAGCTGTCGGAGCACATAGCGCGCGTCGACGTCAATCGCAGCCGACTGGGCCGGGTTGACACATACGACAAAGTGCTGCCCCATGCCCGAGAGCCCGTCAAAGAGCGCACTTGCCTGCTGCAAGAGGTCGGTCGCGACCGAGTTGGTGTCCGGTTGGTTCGCCTTGATCGCGCTAAAGTTGACAGCAATCCGGACGTGTGCGGCCGACGCGCTCGCCGCGTGCGTCGGCGAGTTGCCATACCGGTCCACAAGGCCTTTGACAAAGCTGTTGCGCGACGACTTGAGAATCGCGGCGGCGGTCGACGACACGCTCTTGTTGTTCCGGCGCGCCATGTCCTCTGCTTCATAGATGATCGAGCCCGCCGAGTGGTGCACGAGGAACTGCAGCTTGTAGTTCTTCTTGTTGGTCGATGACGGCAACACGGGTTGCAGCGACGGGTTGCCAATGTTTTCATTGGCCACGAGGAGCTTGTTGACAAAGTGCGCGTCATGGGCTTGCTTGGTCTTGGACGCCATGTGCTCGTTCAGCACGACGTAGATACCCGCCGGTGCCGCTTCGTACAGGCGGACGTACTTGGACGGGTCCAACGGTGACGCCGCGGCCGGCGACTCAAAGACGCGTGAGAGGTAGAACGACCGCGCCTTCTCGGCCCAGTAATGGGCGTGGAGCGTCTCGAGGCCTTGGACGTGCACGAGCAGCATGGTATCGTCGAGCAAGGACGACGACGACGTGGCAGAGGAGGACGACGGGTCCGCGACCATGTCAAAGCCAAAGCCATCGAGCACGTGGATGCCCCGGTTCTCGACCATGATGTTGCTCTTCTCGTAGCGCTCGACCTTGGAGCGGAGGCTGGCGTTCATACGGTACACCACCGCATTAAAAAGCGCTTCGTACAGATTTCGGCAAAACGTATCGCGCGCCCGCGCCGCTTGGCTCACGCTCACAATCTTGAGCGACGACTGGTGGTTGGACGTGACCATCTTGCGCGTGCGAAAGTAGTGGTCGAGGACGCTGGCTTCGACCTCGAGCAGACTCGCAGCGCGGAGCAGACTTTGGCTCGACGCGTCGAGGACGACGCAGCTCGCATTCTCCGACGTGTCGTGCGCCGTCGCCGGTACAAAGACGACATTGCCGAGATGCAAGATGACCGCGAGGACCTTCATCATGTTCTGCACGTGGTGCGACGGTACGCGCAGCGCGGCGAGGCTTGCGACCACGTCCGCGTACTTGGCGGCGTCGCTTTGTCGAATCTCCCCGGGGGCAAATGCAAAGGGCGACGTATTGGCCAGCACCGTATCGGGCAAGTCGAGGATGTCGCAGAGCGTCGGGTTGACACTGGCTTCCGCCAGCAGGTAGTGAAATATGTGGAAGTTGCGCTCCTTGGTCTGCACCACGCGCGCCTTCTCCAAGCCGTACGTGGTCACACTGCCCGCGAGGAGGCGGCCGTGCGTGTCGTAGTCGACTGACGTGAGCTTGGCAACGCGAGACGCATTGGCATTGGACCCCAAGCGCACATGCCCGAAGGCCTCGAGCACCGCGACCGCATGGAGAATCTGCTCTTCGACGGGGATGTGCACCGAGATCGACGACGACGACGACGCGGCGCTGCCTTCGCTGGCGTTGGAGCGCGACTTGGTGCGAATGCTACCGCGCGACTGTTCGTGGTGGCAGAGGTACTGCAAGACGAGCTTGGCAGCTTCCGACTTGCCCGACCCGCTCTCGCCGAGGAGCACAATCGCTTGGTCGTCGCCCGACTCGTGCAGCGCACGCATCGCATCTTCCGCGAGGCCAAAGAGGTGCGGTGGGAGCTCGTGGAGCGTCTGTCGGTGGCGGTACGCGCGGATACGGTCCGGCGTGTACAGTGGCACGGGCCGCTTCGGGTTCATGCTAAGCAGGACGGACGCGCCACACTCGGTGTAGATCTGCTCGTCGCGGTACCGCGTACGAAGCGTGTACAGTAGCGCGTGCTCGAGCGCTTGCGCCTGTGTCTCGTTGCGCCCCGTGAGGTTGCCATGCAAGCGCGCCGTGATCGCGTCGGCTTGGTCCGGCGGCGCCTCGGGCCGCTGCAAGAAAAGCTCGGCGACGTCCGAGACCCGGCGCGAGAGGTCCATGCACACAGGCAGCGCCTCGTCAATGTCGAGTTGCCGCTCCTCGCCATCTTCCGTGTGCACGATGAGCGTGTTGGCGTCCGCGCCTTGGGCCACAATGACGCCGGGTACGCACACGAGGGCATCGTCGGGGCACCAGACCCACTGCTCGGGGCGGTCCATGTCCATCGGCTGCTCTGCCAACTCGGAGGACGCCGACGAGTCCACGCGGAAGCGCTCGTCCATCGTCGTCGAGGTCGAGGGGAACACTCGTCAATATGTAATATTCGAGCTGTCGCTTGTCGTATCCGGAATCCGGATACGAACACCTGTTCGTCAAAAAGCGCGGTCGTCGTTCGGTGCAAGGGGTCCAAGGAAGAGTCGACGGCGCGAACAAGTAGTCACTAACGTCGCCAAGTCCACGCCACTGTATGTGTACGCTCGGTCGACCGACCAAAATTGCTGGACCGATATAGAGGAGAGGTCCATCGAACGTGGTGTCGAGTTCAGTACCCCGGGGCACAATCAGATTTGACCACAAAGCCGGGGCACAGGACACAGCTCCTTCAACTTGAATGCCCATGGTCCATCGGTGAGCAGCAGTTGCCAGGACTCATCATACATGAGGTAGATGGCGTTGGTGTCCTCTTCATCCAGTGCACTGTATTTGCAAAAGTGACCTGCCTCTCTCGGGGAGGCGAGCGCCGTGTTCCCAGCGGTCACCTGTGCGCTTTGGATAGCCTATTTAGGATAGCTCGGCGCGGATATGTGTACCTCTTGCATACACGGGCGACCGCTGGTCCGACAACTAGGTATCCTACGGCCGCTAGTCCAGGGATTTCTGCGATTGACGTCACTGCGTTGGGAAGGCTCCTTCGCCGTGTTTCGAGCCTGCTCTCGACTCATGACGCAGGGCGTCGTCGTCCTTGAACCAGCAAGCGTCCTGCGGTGATGACACCTGGTGCTATGTGAACCGTCTCGCCATTGCAGCTTTCGGCACTGCATCGCACCTCGGCTACGGACATGGTCAACACGGGACACGGCTCCTTGATGCGGCCCCTTCATGGACCCCGCGGCTCTTCCAAGAACGTAGCGTCAAGAAGTTATAAATCGAATCTACTCGGCCTTGAGCACAAAGTAGTCGCCGTCCCGGGTCAAGACACCGGAAGTCTTTTTCGAAGCCGCCTTGAACGCGACCTTGGACGCATTGAGCTCCGGGTGCTTGTCTTGCACGTACGCGAGCGTGGCCTTGCGCAGTGCCTTCTTGCCCATGCGGCGCCCGTCGGCCTTCTTGACGAGGCTCTTCATGGCCTTGACCCATTTCTTCTCGTCGGCCGAGAGCTCGATCACGGTCTCATCGGTTTGTGTCGCCAGATATCCCTTGACGTGCGATGCCAGCGCGGACAGGCCCTCGGTCTCGGGCTCGGTCTTTTGCTTCTTGCTGCTCTCGTCCGTCGCGTCCTCGTCGGCCTTGCGCTTGGCGGGGGCTTCCGGCTCCTTGAGCTTGTTGAACTCGGTCTCAAGGAACGTCCAGAGCTTTTCTTCGAGGCCGCCGCTTTGGGCGCCGATCGAATTCTTGAGAAAGTTCATAAACTTGCCCTTCTTGCGCGGCACGTTGTCGTAGCCTTGGATGCGCTGCAGCGCCTGCTGCACCTTGGGTTCCGGCGCGGTCACGGACGTGATCAGGTCCATCCAGCGCTCCTGCGGGTTGCGCTTCGCAGCCGCCTTGCCCTTCTCGCCCTGGAAGAGCGCGCCTTGGTACTTCTCGGCCTCCGAGATGCACGTCGTGTGCGCGGCGTAGTCGTTGCCCTTGAAGACGACCGAGCAGTCGACGCACGTCACGGCCCAGCAGTTGCGGCACCGCGCCGCGTGCTGGTCGACCTTGTTCTTCTTGAGCGTCTCGTTGCAGCCTTCGCAGACAAAGAAGACCATCGGGATCGGTGTCTCGGCGATGCCAAGTTGAAGTGCCATGGCCAGTCACAAGCATGTCCGTATAATCGTTCGTTATCCGGATTGTGGCCACCAATCATATTGCGTTGCAGGATTTCGATGCCGGTTCAACACAGCTATGCTGACGCCTCTGGTATAAGTATGAGAGCGCTGTCGAGGCGTGGGCAGGCCAAAGCGACAACAACAGCAAGACACTGCCACAAAAGCCAGCGACATTGCCGCACCAAAATGAACACCAATCACGCGATCTCGGTTCATGACCTGCCGTCAAACCCCGCCAAGACTGGAGCCGAGGACGACGTCTGTTTCATACTGGAGGTGCAGCGCACCACACAAGCCGAGGCAGTGGTAGGTCACCATCTTGGGCGTATGTGAGAGCACGTAGCAGTCGCTACCACGAAAGCGAAGCGCTGCGTTTCGTTGGAGATGGCGGTGGATCGCACAGAACCTACAGATGGCAGATGGACAAGATTCAAACTGCTAAATTCTATCCGAGTTGTCCACTACACAAAAGCAGTCCATTACCCCCTGCAATGACCGCAAAGGTTCAGAGAACCATCACTCCAAGCCTCGGCAACGACCCGTGCAAGCAACGAGGCTGAGGTATGGCTGCACATCGCCCGTGGCGGGCTGCCAGATCCGAGGAACGACCGCAGAGCCATGCCAATACACTAAAATAACCTACACAAACCCTAATCCTACCTTTTGCACGTCTACAGATAGGTGATCTGCGCCTCAGCCCTGCAATGGCCGAGCGGAGTACACAACACAAGCAGGTTGAGCCAAGGACAGCTCAATTTCCGGCTAGCGGGGACCCACAAGGAACACTCTGGCGTTGTAGCCGGGAGCAGCGGATGTTCGGTCGATCCCTATCCGTTTGCCAATGTCCCTGAAAATTAATTCTGGAATTCTGGAATTCCATTCCTTTTATTGCAATACAATTGTAGAAAAATATCAATTTCGGTGCAATTTCGATATCACATTCCACTGTACGTCGTCGACACGCATCAATACACCTCTCGATCCACCACAGTTCAAAAACACAATCGTCCGATTTTGGATAGACGCACGCATGCTTATCCAGGTATCCAGCCGTCGCGCCGGGGTTGGTCTCGTCGTCGTTGCGCTTACTTGACAAACTCCCACTTATTGACCATCATCTTGGAGATGCACTGGAGCGCGTGCTTCTGGACTTCGGCGTTCTCGTGCGTCATGAGTTTCATCGCGACCTTCTTCGCGCCGAGGCGCTTGGCGATGTGCTTGCCGTTGGGGTAAAAGCGCACAAAGTCGCCGAGATCGTAGAGCGCGACCGCGACCGTCTTGGGGTCCTCCGACTCGAGGAGCTCAATGAGCAGCCTACCCTTTTGGTATAGATAAAGGGTGAAAATGGCGTCGTACCGAATGAGCTCAAACTCCTTGAGCTCAAACGCCATGTAGTTTTCTCGCCAAAACTTGTCCGTATGCAAGAGACCCCAGTTGAGGGCGCCCGTGCGCAGCTCCTTCTCGTAGCGCTCCATCGTGCTAGCAGCACGCAATTACTTCCGAAAATCCAACCAAACGACGTACTTGAGCTCCTTGAACTCACGAATGAGCACGTCACGGACGGCCTGGATCGACTTGGTGATGTCGTCGTCGGTCCACTTGCGGTCACGGAGGTTCGTCAGCGTCTTGAGCAGACCGCCGTCAATCATGCTCTCGTTGTACTGACCGTTCTGCTTGCCGAGGAGGTTCTAAATGCCGAGAATAAGATTCGCAGCCGGTGACGGTGCCAACCTGCAACGCCTCCAAGGCCACGCGCACGACCTTCTCACGCGGCGCCGCAATGACCTACACCACACAGTGAGCACAAGACGTCGTGACGCATGCGTCGTCGTCACCTGCTGGATCAAAGCGTGCACAGCACCAGATGAGCCAAACTTCTCAACCGCGTCCGGGCAGAACGACAGCGTCCAGAGGCAAAAGCTCAGCTACCAAGAGAGCCATGTGAGTCGACCGCATTATACGTATCGAGACGCACTTCGTAAGCCAGCTGGGCGCGACCTTGGCAGTTCTTCATGACCTCGGCGACGCTAGCAGCACGAATGGCGTGTCATCGGTACCTCAATCGAATCCACAGAAATACCTCTTCATGCCATCGGCCTTTGTGAAGAGGAGACGCGCCGTGTTGTTGCGGAGGAGCACCATGAGCGTCGTGACCGCGTTACGCGCCGCCGCCGCACGGGCCGCGTCGACCATGTTGGCCGACGCCTTGAGCGCGTCCAAGATCCACTGGATGAGCGCGGCAATGTCCTGCTCCTTGACGCGCACCCTACATGATCGCTCCATATCCCATCTGTATTCTGTATTGGTAGCGCCTACGTTAAGAACTGGGCGAGAATGTGGCCGGCCGCATACTGCGTGTAGCCGGTCTCGCTGCGCAGGAGGCGAAGGAACGGTGCCGCATCGACGGTCGTGCCCTCGGGGACAAAGTACTCGATGCGCTTGCGGAGGCGGCCGCCATCTGCATGCGAAAACATAAGTCGTCCAGATCGATGTAGGATACTATATACGTACCGGGCAGAAGCTCGTCGATGCGCGCAAAGGCGTAGCGCAGCACGGACGGCTCCGTGACGTTCTTGATGAGCTTGAGGAGGCCATGGCCGAGGAACTCGCCCGACTCGCGCAGGAACGTGTCAATGACCACGTCGGCCTGCTCCTCGTGCGCGGCCGCGTTCTTGGCCGTTGTCTCCATCTCCTTGATCGCGCTGATCTCGTGCTTGTCGAGCGAGAAGCCGCCCGGGCGCGAGTACGTGCCCCAGTTGATGTCCTTGAACTTGGCGAGGGCCTCTTCGCGGGCGAGTGCCACGTCGAGCGCGTTCATCTTGGCGTCCGCGCCGCTGTTGAGGCTTGCCATCCTTCCGCGATTTTCAATGTGACTTCGTGGGGCCCGCTGTTCAATGTACCTGTTTTAAACTCTAAGCTTGCTCTTTCTATGGGCACCCATCGTTTCCAACAGGTGACTTCATGTGGTAAATATGGCGAGACGCCACAATTAGTAGCCCAGCCACGCCTATGGCTAAAACCACGCAACACCCGCGGCTCGATCTTGGGCTCTGCAGCCGACACCACGCGAGCGATGGCCAACGCATAGAATCGGTCGGCACACAGTCGATGCACCAAACTATTGCAGATGGAGCCTTCTCTACTGTGTACCTTGGCTTGTCCAAACATGCAATCCATGAAAATCTTCCTCGTCCAAACGCAAAATTTGAGTTTCACGACGCTGACCATACCATTCATGAAATATCATTCCATCCGATTCAGTAGAGCATATTCTCTCTGTTTGACGCCTCCAGCCATGCGCGGCGTCATTGGCCCTTCCTTTGGAGCGCTGTCTTTGCCGCAGGTATTGGCAGGCTCCAACCCGGCCGATCCTGTCTTCAACCGGTCGGATCGACGCTTCACCAAAGAACTAAGCTTACACATGGGCTCTACCCTGCGCAAAACATAGTCGATACGGTCTACTAATGTACTGCGTACCAAGCACACCACGTCGACGTGTCGAGCGGCCGTTGCGACAGCACGGTGCATGGCGCAGCGGCGCGCAACATTTCAAGGTGGCGTGTTTTTATCCAATTCCGTCGAGTCCCATCGCTCGTGTATGCGGACGCATCCGGTTACTTGCGGTTGCTTGGAGCCAAGACGTATGGCCGCCGAGCCCGAGTACGCGCAGCTCCATGCGCGCTTCATGCGCCTGCAGGCCGAGACGCAGCGCCTCGCCGCTGCCTACGCGCTCGCCGCCGAGCAGCTTGAGGATCTCCATACGGACAAGGCCATCCTGACCGACAAGCTCGTCCGCATCCGCGTCCGCCGGCGCAACCTCGTCCGCGCCGCCGATGCGGATCTCGGCGCGCTCATGACCGCCAAGACGCTCTTCGTCCGCCACACGCGGCGCGCCATGCGGAGGCAATTCCCACTCGCCTCCCGCAACAAGATATCGCGGGCACTCGACGACGCATGGGATGCGCTACCGGCCGATGCCCAAGAGGTTCTAACGTACGGGCCAGACTTGCACTCACGTCGATATAGGAATGGCAACGCGACCTCAAGACATATGCTGAAAAGCCAGTGGTAGCACGTCAGAAGGTCGAATGGCGCGTCTCATGGTCCTCTCTTAGGCTCCACCGACGGCGCCACCGACCAAGCCCGTCGTCGCCAAAGCGGTCAAGAAGGAAGAGAAGGTCGACGGACCTTTGGTCGCTGCCAAGAAAGCTCCATCCAAGTCGCGCGCCAAGCCGAAACCTGCCGCAGCGCCGATCGCGACCGACGAGTCCAAGCCCAAGCCCGCGCCGCGCAAGCGCCCACCGCCCAAGAAGAAGGATCCATCGGCGGCGCCCGAGCCCAAGAAGCCGCGCAAGTCGCCACAGGTCAAGGCGCCGCGCAAGCCGACGGCCAATGCGACGCCCAAGAAGACGCCGACAAAAAAAGCTAAAAAGGCCGACGCGCCACCGCCGCCGACCGTCCGACCGCTGGACTTGGACGACGGGTCGAGCGGCGGCAGCAGCGTTGCGCCAAGCGACGAAGACGACAGCGACGACAACATGATGCACTTGCCCATGGGCGCGTTCGGGTAGACTCCCCTACGATCGTCGGCCTTCCATGTTTTTCTTTATATATTGGTCGAATCGACTTGTCTTGTGGTCAATGTAGGCTAACTCGACGGCGACGCAGCGTGCAGCTGCTGTACGACGTGGCCAATGCTGCTCTTCCGGAAGCGCAGCTGGAGGCGGGCTTGGATCTCGGCAATCGACAAGGTCGACCGAATGCTGTCGTACTCGAGGACGTCGCTGGCTTGGACCATATTGACCAGCAGCACAATCTAGCCACTTTGTTCTCACAGACGCCTTGCCATGCAGCACCAACCTGGTCGAGACGGGTAAACTCGGTGAGGAGACTCAGTGGCTCGGTCGGGAACTTGGCGCAGAGCTGCATGACGCTGCGCACGTCACGGTCCAGCTGCATGGCGCCCCACTCGTTAAACTGCTTGGTCTGAATCCCTTCTTCCATCCACGTGCAAAGATCGACGACGACCGCGCGCCAGAGCCGCTCAAACGTCACGCTGTTGAGGCCACGTCGGAAGCGCCGGAGGGCCTTTTCCCGCAGCACCTACCACCAACGATGATGCGTCGTCGTCATCCAAAGAGCGCGAAACCTGATGGACAAGGCGACGCAGCGGCGAGTCGTGCACGTCAAAGTACTCGAACGACTCCAAGTTGAGCTCAAACTGCCACTGTGGAATCGACGCGTCACAGTACGCCCGTAGTTTGGCCTGGAGCGCGATCGCATACAGCTCTTGCGTGCCGACCGTAATGACTTGACCGACGTCGGCTTGCAAGTCACTCAGTGCTTTTGGGAGACACTCGAGAAGCGGCGGAAACGGCGGAAACGAGAGCTCGTGCAACCGCGCATGCAGCGTATCGACGTACGCCGAGCTCTTGTGCGCCGAGTTGATGGCCATCATCATCTTGGCCTGGCGCTGCAACTGCGCTGTGAGGTCCATCTCGACGACCTCCAAGAGCGCGTCACCAAACGACTTTTCGTCGTCGCCAGTACTCGACGCTTCGTTCGGCTCGGTCGTCGCTCGGGGCGACGTGACCGGCAGCGGCAGCTCAAAGCTGCGATCGGGTAGCGCCAGAATCGACGGCATGAACGTTCCATCGAGCGCCTCGACGATGGCAATCACGATCGCGAGCACCGTGTGGTAGTGCATACTAGGCAACGTATTCCCTGAGCGTGCGTTGCCAAAGTCGAGAGAGACACCTCTGATTCGCGCGGGCAAAGGCCTTGTCGAGCACGAACGACGTGTCCTGCACCGTACTAGACAAATGCAGGATATACTTCAACTGTGAAAAATGAAACATAGAACCCTAACCCTACGACACACCTGATCTCAAACACGTGCGGCTCGACTTCTTCGGGCTCGGCAATCGCGACGGCCTTCCGGACGCTCTGCGAAATGTAAAACTGCTCGAGGAGGAGGTAGACGCCGTTGAGCTCGGCGATTTTGGCCGAGAGACCAGCGTGGGCGGCCACGTCGAGGACCGAAGCCGTGTACTGAAAGCCCCACTGGAGGATCGTAGCGAGTTCGTCCAAGAGCAAATCGATCATCTGGAGACTCTCGTCGGCTTCGACCTGCCCATGGTTCATGCTGATCTTGCGCTCCCACGCGAGGAGGCGCGCGTCGTTGCCGTACATGGCGAGAACGTCGAGGACCACGTCGAGGATACGCTTGTGCAAGGGCGCAAAGGTCGCGGCGACTTGGTGCGGCCACACCGTCTGCTCAATGTACTGCAGGAGGTGCGAGGCGTCCTGGAAGAGCCCCGTGAGCGCCTCGAGGTGGATATGCCGGTCAATGTAGCCGTCGGCGTTGAGCTTGGCCGACGTCTTGAGCCGCTTGAACTGGTCAAGACGAAGACCACCGCGCTGGCTCGCATCGGCCGTCATGTAGTCGCGCAGCCGATGCAGCGACGCATCTGTGCTATCGAGCGTCTGCGCCGTGTAAAACGCGTTGAGCACGAGCAAGAGATCGTCTTCGAGGGCCTTGAGTTGGCCGGCGAGGTCGTCGGATGCGACAGGCCGACGCTTGTTTAGCGCGCCCGTCTTGGGCAACACAAAGTCGCCAAACTGCTGGACCGCGGCCGGGCCCTTGGTGATGGCCTTTTGCTCGCAGTCGCGCAGCATCTACATGACGATGAGCGAACGTACACATCGGTCGTCGTGCCTCTTCCAGGAGCGCGCTCTCGGGCGACGCCGCCGCCTCCTTCGCAGCTTCGCGCAGGCTTTGCAGCGCGTCCACAAGGCCATCGAGCTTGTCTTCCGCGAGCGCCATGTAGAAGGCAGCGATGTGCTCGTGGAACGCCATCGCCGGGTCCGTCATCCTCCTCGCCCAAGTCGAAAATCCGGATGGTCGTTCCGGCAACACCAAATCGACTAGATACACGCCACTTTGTTCCTCCGACCGACCACCACACCTGGCTGGTTTGATGCGTCGCCACCGACAGCGACAACGACAACGAGTGCCAAGCATACTGTGGCGTGAAAAGGCCCTGCAGAGTGCGCCTTGCTACGCCATAAGGTCCCCTTCGCGCCTCCCATGGTGTAACTTGCGTGCAATTAGATGCCCCAGCTGTCACCAACCTTGACAAGAGATGACCTTTCTGTGCATTCGGTTGCCTTTGGCCTCGCGGGTCGTCTGGCTGTAGAGGGGCACGCAGTCCAAAAGGTGGGCGCTCACAACGCTCTCTCAGCAAGCCACTGCTGCCACGTCCAGGCACCAGCAGCTCGGTCGAGGACTCTGGTCCGCCTCAAGGAGCTGGCCAGTGACATTAGTCTGGGCCAACGGCGCTCGTGTCTGTGCGCGCGACATCAACCATACAAAGCTCAACGCGTTAACAGCTTGTGCTCACGCTCAGCGCCAGGACACGTTGCATAAAGGCGGCGTTACCAGCCCATGGGCACACCGTCGCCGCGGCCGTCCGAGCCGGCGCAGAGAACCCCGGACGTCGGGTCGCGCGTGATGATCTGGCCGCGCCCAAAGAGCCCGCGCTCCATGTTGGAGAGCACTTGGATCGTATGGCCTTTGGCACGCAGCCCGTCGATCGTCGCCGTGGGCATCGTGTCTTCAACGCTCACGACACTCGCGTTCTCGCCTTCGGCCGCGCCAATGCAAAAGCGAGGCGCGTCCAGTGCCTCTTGCGGGTCCATGCCAAAGCGCAGCATGTTGAGGAGCACTTGCACGTGGCCTTGGGGTTGCATAAACCTACTCCAAATAAGATCAAAGTATCAAAGTATCAATCGTCATCGTCGTCGTACCCGCCCATGACGGTAAAGGTCGAGTGGAGCAGCTGCGAATCCGCAAAGAGAGACATGGCCGGGATGATCGTGTGGTACGGGCGCTTCCCCGGGGCGAGCGCGTTTGGATGGCCGTCCTCCAAGATGAAATTGCTACCTCGGTTCTGCAGCGAAAAGCCGCGTCCTTCCGGGATCAGCCCTAATCGACGCCCTACGATAGGGCCCACCTTATTAAACGAGCGTACCTGAGCCAAACTTGGCATAGTTGCTGTTGACCATCGAGACTGCGTTGCCGTAGACATCGACGACTTGAAAGCTCACCGTGTCGCTCGACAGAATCGGGGACCCGCGCTTCGGGTCGACCATGGCCTAGTCGATTTGAGAGTCTACTAACTAATTGGTCGAGAAGGGACCTTGTCAGGGGAGATGAGCTCGACGCGCGCTTTGGCGTACGCGGCGCCGAGGAGCTCGTCCACGGGCACGTGCTCCACCTCGGGGTCGCAGACGTACCAGCGAGCATCCTGGAACGCGAGGCGCAGGGTTTCAATGAGCGCGTGGAGGTACTCGGGCGACTGGTGCGATTTGAGGACCTCTGGCGGCAGCTGCGACAGCAAATTGAGCGCCAGAAGCGCCGTGATGCCTTGGCCATTCGGCGGGATCTCATACACGTCAATCCCGTCAAAGGTCGTCTTGATCGGCTGGACAAACGACGATGCATGCGTCGCCAAGTCCTATCCGGATACGAATAAGACCAACGTACCAAAGTCGTGTACCTCGAGACTCAAGAGACCGCCTTGGGCAGCGACCGCAGCGACAATGTCGTTGGCGATCGGCCCTTCGTAAAAGCCAGCTTTGCCGTACAGCCCAATGGCCTCGAGCGATGCGGCGAGGTTCGGGTTACGGAAGATCTAGACAATAAGTCCAGTTTTATCTACAAATGAGATAGCACCTCGCCCGTGCGAGGCGCGCGGCCATCGATGAGCAAGTCCTATCAACCCTGAGGTTAGCACTCTTCTTGCACTAGGCGACCAACCTCGGGGTGCGGCCAGCGAGTGAGCTGGAACGCTCTACATCCGCAAGTATCATAGCAAATCGCCCACAAAACACGCTGCGTACGCAGTCTCCCAGAGGTACGACGTGACGGGCGCGACGGGGAAGCCTTCGCGCGCGAGCTCAATTGCTGGCTGGAGAATGTCTTGCATGGACATGGTGCCCCACGCCTTGACTGCGTCGACCCAGCCCGCGACGGCGCCGGGTACCTGTATGCGCCGTGACGCCAGCGCGGTGCCATCGTCGTACCGTGATGGAATGCACATGGCCGAGCGGGATGCTGGTCGCGTTCGGGCAGTCGGCCATTGCGCGCTCGAGCGTCAGCGCCTTGGCGCAGCGCCCGCTGCCGTTGAGACCCGCAACCTACCGCCGCGTACGTTTGCGCTCGAAACCAACCGAGTTGCAGTACCTGGCGCGTCTCGGCGTTGTAGTAGAGGAGGAAGCAGTCACCGCCAATGCCCGTCGAGCACGGCTCCGTGACTACAGAGAGCGCTTGCAGCTACACCAGAGGCGGCCACGCGTCGTACCGTTGAGCGCCGCGGCAATCGCGATCGCCGCATCCACAGCATTCCCGCCTTCGCGCAAGATGCGGTAGCCGATCTCAGAGGCCAGCGGCTGGTTCGTAGCGACCATGCCATGGGTCCCATAGACCTACGCGGCGGCGTCAGCGGGATGGCGTCGACGAGGCGCGCGCACCGGCGACCGGGTGAAGGACCGGGTCTGCGTGGCGTAGCGGTGCGTCGTCATCAAAGCAAAAAGTGACCTTGAACTTTGCGTCGCCCAATCAGAGGGCTCCACGGGTCGGCCTGTAACATTGGATAGCCAGGCGCGTATTCAAATCGAGAGGTTTTCAAGGTGGCACCGACGAAGTCGATCAGTTGCCAGCGACGACCAAGGGCACCGACAATGTATGGCGAAGACTAGAGCTAGTCGCTAAATGACAATAGTACGAGTGCTATCGACTATCGATACCAACTCTATCTTGTACAAAGCAAACAAAAAACGTGAATTGCAAAACTTTTTACCGAATCCACCACAAGGGACATTGTACATTTCCATGTACAATTGTAGACACTGCATAGAATACATGTACGTAGTACCAGAGTCTGCCACAAGCGTCGTAGGGCGACGACCGAAGGGAAGACGAGCCCCGCGCAGCCACGGCCCGGCGAGCGAATGATGAACAAGGAGATTGCTAGTCTCTACGTATGCGAAGTCTTTGTGTAATTATGAAGATAACGCGAAACACGTTCATATTAGTACCAGAGTCGACACGACATCGACAGATCCTGCAGGGCTGACGCTGATGCCCCTTGCGATCTTCGACGTTTGACGACCACCACTCTTCCCTTGCATCGGCACTGCGAGTGATGGTCACGAAATCCAATCAGGAGCAAAACACCACATTTCAACTTTTGCCCACAACCAGCGATTACGATGCCAGCCCTGCTTTTGCCGTCGCTCCAGACTGCACCCAAGACCTTTGCGCTCCCGACCTTGGCCTACGTCCCGGCGCCCGCCGTCGTCACACCAAACACTGCCACCGTCCTCGGCTGGGACGACTTCCTGTGTCCGTCCACATGGCTGCACCAGACGCACGCGATCCATCCCAACCAGCTCACGCACCCGGCGCTTCAGCTCCACCTCGCGAATCTCGATGTAGCGATCGTGTCGCTGCTCACGCAGGCGGAGACACTTGGCCCCGTCTTTGTCGTTGCCAAGGACGTCCATGCGACGCACGCGCTGTGCGTGGCGTTCTTCCCGCAGACGCTCGCGCTGCTCTCGTCGTCGTCCGTGTGCGTCGTGTCGGCATCGACCACAATCCTCGACGACATCTGTGCGGCCGTGCTCCACGTCTCAACGAGCGTGTTTGCACCGGCCAAGTCGCTCATCGTCGCTGGCCATGCATCCTGGCGCCAAACTTGCGCAAGCCTGTGCGCGCCGGTTCTGAGAAAAGTGATTGCGAGCGGCCATACAACGCCGTCGGTCGACGAAGCCCACGAGAGCGTCCAGCGACTGAGTCGCGGCCTCTTGCAGGTCGTGGCCGCACACACGACCGCACTCGACATGACGCTGTAGACGCGCCTTGGCTTGCTTTGTATACTATGCATAGATTTGTGAATAATTTATACGACTAGTCGATTTGAACTATTCGATTTGAGCGGGTCCTTATCAGCCGTCCAGTTGCACGCAACACAACAGAGGTCTGCAAGTCCTCGGTACCTGCGCGCGTATCTCCATAGAGTCGCATTACATTCACGAGGCTTCTACGCGTAGCACGTTCGCTACGTCAGACTCGTTGAAGGTACAACGACCGCACAAAAAAGCGCCACCCCACTCGAGTCGGACGGTCGAGCTTCAAACGCTGACCGGCTCATTCGAGCGCTTGCCTCCTACCGCGCTCTAGAATACGAAATGCATCGAAATCAAGTGGTGGATGCTGGTGAAGCCGGAAAAATAACATACTAGTACGTGAGACCCCGACCTGAGCTTTGCGGTGCTACCGGCGACTACGGGTGACCGATGACCTATTTCATCCATGGAGCATCTCGGCATCTCAGCATTCCGCTTCTGTCAAAGCATTCGTAGTTTGAGCAAAGCTCATGTGTCAACATCCAGTGTACACATATATCAGTCACGTCATTGCACCTGCTCTGTCGATGTGCGGGACTCGTGTACGTCCAGCAAAGCGTGCAGTGCAAGGGATCCAAACTGGCCTCCGATCGCGCCGACCAAGTCGCGTCTGCCGCCTGCTCTATCAGTCGCACCACAGCTCACAGCTGCAACGTCCGGAGTAAGCAGCTTCAACGCACTGACAAGCATCCGTGAGTAACCTCGAGGCCACTTCCTGCCTCTCTCTCCGAGTCGCCGCCCTCGCCATTCCCCTCGCGAGGTCCGTACGTGCGTGTCGAAGATACCGACACCGCGCACCCGGCGCAGGTCCTCTCTCTTTGAAACAACATTTCTGCAGCGTCGTCACGTCGTCAAGCCCACCGTATCGCATTGTATCAGGGGTAGGTCTGGCGCCGACTCTACGCTGGTCCGCGACAGGGCCATGTCTTGGATGGTCAGTCTGGATCTGGATACCATGCCCACACACCGCAACCTACCTGCTCGGTTCGGGGACGCAACCGCGCTCTCGCCAAGCGGCAGCACTGTGCCCATGAGCTCGTTCGCGGGTAGCGTCTGCCTCGTCGTCAACGTTGCGTCTCAATGAGGACTCGCGACGCTCAACTACACTCACTTGGCCGAGCTCGACCGGCGCTTCCGGCCGCTCGGGCTGCGTATTCTCGCGTTCCCATGCAATCAGTTTGCGGGCCAAGAGTCTGGCTCTGAGACCGAGATCCGCGACTTTGCCAATGGCTTTGGCGCAACGTTTCCGATCTTTGCGAAAGGCGACGTCAATGGCGCCAAGGCGCAGCCCGTGTTCCGGTACCTCAAGGCGCACTTGACCGGCACGCTCGGCGCGTCCATCAAGTGGAACTTCACCAAGTTCCTCGTGCGGCGCAACGGGCAGCCGTTCAAGCGCTATAGCCCGACCACGCCGCCGCTCCGGCTCCTCGACGACATTTTGATGTTGCTCGCCGACGACAAGGCACCATTGTCGTTGGGCCAACGCGCGGAATGAGCAATGCGATCTCCAAGAACATCATGTAATGATGGCGCCTGCATGACGGCGCGGCCCTCAACTTGCAACGATGCGGGCGGGCCGCGCTTGAGAAGACTGTGGTCGTCGCCTTTTGGAGTGGAAGGCGACGAGCATAAAGCGCCTCCGCATGAATGCTCTCGAATGGACTCGAGGACTCGACAGTACATAGTACGCCAACTGTAGGCGAGTAGAATAACATAGTAGAATGATTTAAGAACGTTTTGTGTACAATAATCTTGCGGCAAGAGCTGATCGGTGATACTCATTGGGTGATACTCATGGGTGATACTCATTTGGAATCCTTGATCGGCGACTACTAAGTATCATGGGTGATACTTAGTAGTCGCCGATCAAGGATTCCCTTGTCGCCGATCACCGAGGCTAAAAAAATAAACGATTTGCATTGGCCAATATCGGTTCTATTTTGACCAATCACGAGTCATGCCAACCCGACCTCGGCCAGCGCCGGCCGGATGGCAGCAACTTTGCACCTGAAAACAAAGTTGCTCATACTTGGCATGTCGATAGAGGACATTTCCGAGAGTCCAAAACGCTACGTCGTGTCGGCGATAGCGCGCTACAGCTTCTGAAATCCGTGGTGCAACGTGTCTTTTCAAAATACCATCACTCTTGCAAAGTATGTACATCGTGGCGTATCGCGGAGGACCCACCGCGGGAAGGTCCCTTTAGTCGTCGTCTTCAACGGTCTATGGATCGTACCTGGTACTGCCTACCTCGGCGAGCTATCGCGGTACTTGCGTCGCATCAAAAGCGAGATTACCGCGCTGTATGATGTAAAACGCAAGAAACGTCTGGCAGCACGGAGCGTTAAATACGTCAAACCACTTTAGCCCAAAAGTGATCGGGGCGCAACGCGTACTCCACGAACTCGACGATCATGCCCTTCTCGGACCGGCGCCACCCCGCGGGCATCCAGCTCCAAGTGCGCCGCCAGCTGCGTGCAGTCGAGCACGCGGCCAGCGCCGACGACGACAAGGCCATCGCGCTCGAGCTCCTCGACACGATGCACAAGCTGGCGCAGCACACAGTGACGCTCGACGACGTCGCCCGCTGCCATACGCGCGTGACCGAGCACGCGACCACGTCGGCAAGCGCCCACGCCGCCTTTGAAGCCGCACTGCTCGAGCTCACGGGCGACGTCGCGGTGACGCACCTGCAGGACGCACTCCAGCACCTTCTCGTCGCCGGAGCGTTTGTGCCGATCGCGCTGCGCTACTGGAAGCGGCAGATGAAGCAGCCACTGCAGCTCGCGCTCCTTACGGCGCCCGACAAACTGTGGCAGCCCATGTACGTACTCTGGCCTTCGTGTCCAATGTGTCATCTTGTCTCGTAGCGATATCGTCCCCACCGAAGAGAAGATCCGCGCGCTGGAAGAGTCGTACGACCAGCACCTGGTGCGTCGTGTAGTGTTACCTACAACAGGGTATACATGGCTACGACGTCTAGACAAGCATTGGTCTGCTCAAGCAACTGCTGCTTGCGCTCCAGCACGCCGACTCGCGCCGGTACCAGATCCTGGTGCACCAGTCGTACCGTGTGCTCCAGCACGTGTACGCCACCTCCAGTTTGGTCAAGTACGCAGACTCTATATAGCTTTGAATGACCATACTTTGTCTCGTAGGCCGCAGACCGAAGCGTCGCTCTTGGCGCCGCCGCCGGCCAAGCACGTTGTGAGTACGTAGCCTTGCACGGTCGTCAAACCCTGACGTGTGTTAGCGCTCGAGAGCCTGCCGCGGGATGTGGTCTCGACCGCCGCTCTGCTCGAGTACCTCAAGCAGCTGCCGGCGACGCAAACCCTGTACACGGTACATCGCCACCGCTCGCTACAGTATGCGTAGCGATCTCTGGACCCTAGACGGCGCTCAACGAGACACTTCGACCGTGCCAGATCCCGCACTTTCTGCGCCGCCGGTACGCGTGTGGTGGCTTGATATTTTGATAGATTGATGCATTAGGTGGTGGCAGCTGTCGTTGGCCGGCCTCGGTGCACTCGCGGGGGCCTCGTACCTTGTCAAGAACCGCCAAGCGCTTGGTCACTGGATGCAAACGGTGCAACACGCTGTCCGGGACTTTGTCGGCGACCATTTGGTGACGCCCCTGAGGTATTATCGATGCATTTCAGCGAACGCATATGTATTTGTGACTAGCGCGATCGTCGGCGAAGTCATTCTGAACAAGAAGGCGTGCATTCAAGACCCGCGGGCTCTCGAAGACTCGCGCGAGAGCCTTCAGCGTATGCTGGCCGACTTTATCCGGGACACCAACCCGTCGCTGCCGTCGTCGCAACAGCTCGCTTTGGTAGAAGCTACCACCTTTGGTCGAGATTGGCATTCGAAATACCTAGGCCCAAGCGATGGACATGTCGGTCGTCTCACTTCAGTTTGAGAAGGAGCTGCCCCGCGCCCTAAAGAACATTGTCACGGGCGACATTGTCCGCATGATGCTCATCCAGGTCTGTCGTACGATGTCGGCTTTCTATCAATGTATCGATTGCCGTAGATTCAATTTATCAAGAAGGAGCTCATGGTGGCGATGAAAGCCATCGACGAGCTCATGGATGCGAACCAGCTCAACCTTCAGATGATGGCGACCGTACCGATGTTCCTCGTCGCCGGCGGCGTCTACGCGCTTGTCTCGCGCCTCTCGTCGTACGCTCGTTTAGTATCAAGTGGAGGTTTGTATCAAGTCTTGTTAGGACTTTTCTGCGCTTTACAAGCGCACGCATTTACGACGACCCGGCGACCGTCGCCACGACGATGCGCTACACGCTGCGCGATATCGAGCGGCTTCTCAACATGCAAAACACCTCGTCGACGCATGCCGCGTCATCCTCGCACCCGCCCGTGCTCCAGACGCTCAACAGCTGCGACTCGTCGCCCAGTATATACTTTTGTACGTTTTTGTCCGATGACTTGACGCTATTCCGTAGCGATGGGGCCGTCGACGCCAACGTCGTTTGTGCCACCGATCTCGTGGAGCGCGGCGGCTAGCCACAGCGCGAACGCGTCCTTGGGCGTCCGCGACCTCGGTCTCCTCGTCGTGCTGCTCAACGACCTCCGCAGCCTGTACGACCGCAACCGCGGGTACGGGCTCGAATAATGCATAGGAAGGGCGAGCCTCGATGTACCTTGTAGGTACTTTGACGAAGACGAGCAAAAGCGGTTTGAAGAAGACCTCTCGGACCTCGTTGGCGACCAAATGCTCGTCGCGCAGCAGCTCGCAGTGATCCAGCGCATGCATCACAGCCACTCGTTTCTGATGGTGCAAGACGTGCACGCCAAGTGGCTCCAGTAGCTTCTCGTACGCGCTTGCTGCTCTGCATACAGGACATGTACCAACAAAGGGTCGCAAGAAAGGCTACCATTACATGGTCTAGCTTCCTAGTTGTCGTCGGTCGCATTTAGCTTTGCAGAATGTCCTTGAGAATGTCCTGCTCCGACACTGACAAGGTCGACGCGATCGCGTTAAAGTTGGCCGTCGCGCTGTACGTGCGCACGACGTGGGCAATGTGGCTCTACTCCGTTGCATGAGACAAACGCAACTTGATAGATTGAAACCTTGAGATCAATCTCGTTGAGTGGGTCCATGGCCGCTTCGAGCGCGTCTTCATCGGGCTCGCCCTCGTCATCGCCGAAGCCACCTTGGTCTTCGAGCATCTCGGAGAGCAGCTGGTACTTGTCTAGTCCAAGTTGAACATACATGTGGAGATCTAGCACTTGGAGTACCGCTGGGCGCAAACGTCGACGAGATCTGCGCCTGGCCATACAGTGCATCCTACACCACAATGTTCTCAGCCACCAACGATCCCCATCCAGAGAGAACGCACGTCTTCGTCATCGTCCTCCGAGTCGGACCAGCCAGCGCCGTCGCCAAGCGCGTCCTCATCGTCTTCCGCGTCCATCGCAACGAGGATGTACGTCTGCGCCAAGACGCCAAGCACCTTGGTTGAAAATGGCACGCGGGTAAACTCGTGCGTCTTCTTGGACGACCGGAGCGTGCGCTTGGCCCCGACATCGACCACGGGGTCACCGAGCACGAGGAGGTTGGCCACCCGCACGTCGTTGGCCTCGACGATCTTGAGAAGCGCGAGCACCGTCACCTTGAGCGCATACTGGCCGTAGAACTCGGCTTGGTGCTGGACCCAAGTCGCGCACACAAACTCGAGCATGGTCGGGCCTGGGCCATGTGCCGGCGCCGGCAGCGCGGCGAGCGCCTCTAAAATCACCGACGCGCCGTGCGAGTGGATGAGGCGGGCGTAGACGAGGCAGAGCGACTGGACGAGCGACGGCATGGCGGCGGCCGCAAGACGCTGCGAAACCGCGAGGAGGAGCGACTGCACCGTCTCTACCGGGAGCACGCTCGCGAGATGCAAGAGCACTTGGCTCACGAGACCGCCGACGTTGATTGCGACCGCGTCCGAGACACTGGGCGACAAGAGCTTGGCCGCGACCTGCATGACGCCGTCGACCCCGTTCGACATGCCTAGCATCCATCGTCATTCCTTTCTTATTGCAAAAGAGAGTCGGGTACCGGTGACGGGCGTCGACTGGACATCGCTTGCCGCGTGCATGACACACCACTTGAGACAATCACCACCGACCTGCAGCACCGACCCGTCGTCCGTGCTCAAAAGCAACCCCAGAAGCGGGTCCAAGACTGCGCGGACGAGCGAGCTCTGGAGCGACGGCGTGGCGTGCGGCAAAGCGTGCTTGAGGACCATTTCGAGCAGCTCGATCGCTTGGCTCACGTGGAGCGTGTGCAACAGAGGGCGGTACGTGGCGACGACGCCTTCGACGACGAGCTGCGTCGAGGTCTCGGCTTCGAACCCAAGAAAGGCCGCGAGGATCGAGATCGTCATGTCGTGTACCATGCGGTCGTCGACGCGCTGCGACCAGAGCGAGAGCACAAACTGAACAAACAGCAAAGCAATCGGCGCGACATGCGGCGCGTCGACCGCGTGCACGATGCTGGCCTGCAGTTTTCACACTCGATCAGTTTCCACACTCATTCCATCAAGGTATCAAGGGACAGTTGTGTACCATGGTTTCCAAGACTACGTGGATAGTCTCGGTCGTCGCCGACGCGCAAAGCCCCATGAGACGATCGAGGATGTTGGCGGCCATCGGCTGCACGAGCGTATCGGCTAGTCCCAAATATCAATCGATCCATGTATCCAATCTTAAGTAGCGTACCTTGGTCGTGGAAGAGGAGGAGCCCGATCGCACGGCACGCATAGAGCTTGACGGGCAGCACTTGGTGCACGTCGAGGCCCGACACGGCTACGTCCAAGAACGCCTGGAGCTGCGCTTCGTTCATCGCCTTGGCAAACCGGCTTGCGCACCAGAGCGCGCGCGCCTTCAAGTAGACATCTACGCGCAATGTACACATTGTCATCGCAAAGTCGTCGGAGCGTACTTGTCTCGGGCGCTAGCAGCACACGGAAAAGCGTCTCGAGGAACGCCGCAATGTCGAGCGCCTTGGTCGTCTCACTCTACTCCCATCGATCACGATTTTCACACTTGACACATTGATACATACCGTTTTCATGAGCGGCTTGGCGAGCGTGCCCATCACAAGCAAGGACGCTTCGTGCACCCGCCACGAGCTCGTTGCGTCCGCGAGGCGCGTCTGCGCGGCGTGGATCATCGTCGAGAGCATGTTGCTGCCGAGCGCCGTTTCGAGCTCCTGAAGCAAGTCGACGCCCGAGTTGCGCACGTTGTACTCCATGCTATCGTCGTCTTCGTCGGCAATGTACTTGTTCGGGTCGTCTTCCCAGAGTTCCATTTGACTGGCCGTGATCTGCATGTACGAGACCATGTGCAGCACAAGCGGTTGCATGGCCGAGACGATGAGTCCTTTGGTCTTCTTCGTCGGCGCTTGCACAAGCGACCGCACAAACTCAAAGAGCTGGACCACGGTCGCCGCGCGCCCAATCGACGCGCCATCGTCACTATCGTAGCCGTTGTTGTCGGCGTCGTCGGTCGCGAGCACAACGTGCGTCTCGTAGGCTGGCACGCCGGCGACGAGCAGTTGCCAGACCTACAATATCAAGTTATCAACCAATACGACAGAGCGATCGTACCGGCGGAAGGATGTCGGGAATAAGGCTGCTCATGTCCTTGGGCCACTCGCCGACAAAGACGGCGAGCGCGCGCAGGACATAGAGATGCAGCGCCTCGTGCTGAGGCGTGAGGAGCGCAACGAACCGGCCGATCCACGGCGTGACGTTGGCGTGGAGGACTTGGCCCGCCGCCGCGTCGCCGGCGTGGGCGAGGACGCCGGTCATGGTCAAGCACGTCTGTACGATCGCAATGACGCGGGCGCGGAGCCGGGATGGTGACTGGTCGGCCGTGAAGAGGCGCTCGAGGTGCGGGAAGAGGAGCGGAATGAGCGCCACAAAGTGTTCGCTGGCGACGTGGTCGATCGCACACGAGAAAAACTTGATCGCAAACTGGACGTGGGCTTCGTTCTCGGTGCTCGAGAGGAGCTGAAGGACGACGGGAAAGAGGTCGGGCCATTTTTCCGGCCAGTCGTGCTTGACGACTTCGGCGAGCACGAGACATAGCGCGGTCTGGAACTTGGAGTCATTCGCATGCGTCGGCGCCGCGCCGTGCAGTAGCTGCGAGAGGCCATGCACGAGCGTCGCGCGGATCGACGTCTTTTCGTCGTCGCCAATCACATACCCGTTGCTCTCGTCGACCTCCCAATGGGCAATCACGACCTTCTTGAGCAGAAGCGACGCGAGGTGGGCGAGCGGCAATGGCATCGACAGCTGGAGGCTCTGCGCCAACAGCAGCGCAAAGCCGGGCGACGTGAAGGACTGCGTGAGGACGGCCTCTGCGGCCTGGCGCCGACCGGCGTCCGCCGAGAGCGAGTCGTCGAGGAGGCGGCCAAGGTCGTCGAGTTGCATCTTTGGAATGCCACAAATGAATGACCGCTTTTCCCGCTGCTGGGCCATCCGGATAAACCTCGCCAATCACATACCTCTCGCATTACATACGTTCAATGGGCGCCAAGTTGGGCTGCCGAATCCACGAGGTAGATGCGGCACATGCCAGAAATAAGATTCTCGTGCCATTTCTAAACCCGCTACCTGAGCGCCAAGGCCATTTGGTCGACGAAAGCATGTTTGGAATGTAATCGCCCATAGTTGGCACATAGATAGAAGGCACTTGGGAGAGCAGAGCAAGCTACTCTACGCCAACAAAGGCATCGTGCATTGCGCGCAAGCGTCGACGACAGATATAAAGCGCTTTGTAACGTTAAAAAACAAGCATCGCGACGACCCAGAGCCCATCGAATGCTGCATTTCTACGAAGCGATGAGCCGTTGAAGCTGGACGGGCAGTGCGTTTTGACTAAGGCAATAACCAATATTCCCTTGGTTTGGATACAGCGGCGGGCGTGACCTATGGTCGATGTGATCGCTATCGTCAGCCTCCTGCCTGCCATTGGTCGCGGGTTGATTCCGGATACGAGTACTTCATTTTCGGCGGACCCCACGGCTCTGAAGAAACAGCATCAGTTGCGTACTTTCCTCCTCGCCGGACGTGCGCCGCAAGCTGTGACGCTGTGGGGACCTGCGTCATGAAAGGCTGCGCACTGCTTACTGACGAATCTCGGCGCGAGTCGGGATCAAGGGCTATAAAACACTTTAGTTTTATATCGATGCGGTGCGTACCGAGAATAGTGTAAACAAGCAAACATATAAAATGGGTTTGTTGCTGCTGTTGTTGTTGTGTTCTACTAACCTACTAACCGTTTATCGGACCATGACAATGTCGTCGATCTTGAGGATCATGCGCACGCACTCGGACGCGAGCGAGATCTCGCTCGTGTTGACCAGCAGCGGCTGCAGGATGTTGAGCTCGTACATGTTGCTGATCGTGCCCTTGCGCACGTTGATGCCGGCCGCCTTGTCGCCCGCCGCGTGCTTGGCGCGGAGCTCCGTCACCATGCCGATCGGGTGCAGACCGGCATTCTCGGCCAGCGTGTACGGAATGACTTCGAGCGCGTCCGCAAAGGCTTGGAGGCAGTACGCCGCTGTGCCCTCGAGCGTCCGGCCATACTCGCCGAGGCGCAACGCGACTTCAATTTCCGGGGCGCCGCCACCGCAAATGAGGAAGCGCTTCTTGACGAGCGAGCGCACGACACAGAGCGCGTCATGGAGCGAGCGCTCGGCCTCCTCGAGCACGAGCTTGTTGGAGCCGCGGACGAGGATCGACATGGTCTTGCCGGGGCGGACAACCTCGGTGATCTTGACCACCTTGTGGCCACCGAGCGACTCTTCCTGGACGAGGCCGGCCGTGCCGAGCTTCTCGGGCGTGAGCGACTCAATGTGGGCGACGGGGAGGCAGCCGAGCGTCGTGCTAATGTACTCGACGTCCGTGCGCTCAATGTCCGTGATGACGTGGATGCCCATCTTGGCGAGGAAGTGCAGCGAGAGGTCCGAGGTCGCATCGCGCAAGATGGACTTTTGAATGAGGAGCACGTTGACGCCAGCCTTCTTGATCTGCTTGCAGAGGTTCAAGATGAACTTGCGCTCTTCGCGCAGGATGCGGTCCATGGCCGAGTAGTCGTTGATGACCACGTTGTTCTCCATGTCCGTCTTGGGCGCCGAGAGGCAAAACTGGATGAGCGCAATCTTGGCGTTGGCAATCGTCGTCGGCATGTCGACGCCGCTCGACTTTTCAAAGCCCTACACGATATGCGATGCATAAGAGGAAGATGGAGGTGATCGTTCCATGTACCTTGGAGAAGACGAGACCGTTGATGAGCTGCGAGTCGTCAATGGTACCACCGAGCTGCTTGACGACCTTGACGTCGCGCAAGTCGACATTGACGGCCGTCGCAATGTCAATAACGTTGAGGACGGCGTCGACCGCAATGGGCGAGAGGCGGTCCGAGTACTCCGAGATGACCTTGGACGAGAGCGACGTCGTGACGCACTTGATGAGTTCGTCGCGGTTGTTCAAGTCGACGGGGCGCGACATGGCCGTGAGGATCTCGTCGGCCTTGGTCGCCGCGAGGCCAAAGGCTTCCGAAATGTGCGACGGGTGGATGCCCTTCTGGAGAAGGTCCTCGCACGCCGAGAGGAGCGCGCCGGCAATGACGCACACGCTCGTGGTGCCGTCGCCGGCCTCAATGTCCTGCGACTTGGAGAGGTCCACGAGCATCTTGGCCGTCGGGTGGTACACTTGCATCTGCGTCAAGATGGTCGCGCCGTCGTTCGAGATGATGACCTCGCCGTTGCCCTGCTGGATCATCTTGTCCATGCCACGCGGGCCCAAGCTCGTGCGGATGGCGTTGGCGATCGCTACAAATGTTGCATTTCGCCCATGAGTATAAGGTTTCGCCGTCATCTAGCAGCCTACCCTTGGCCGCGATGATGTTGCTCATGCGCACATCCTTCTCCTTGGCCTTGCCACGGAGCGTCTCGCCCTTCGCGGACGTCTTCTGCACGGAAGCGGTCGTTGTGGCCATCCTTCGTCGCTGGCTTGGTTTTGTGGAATTTATTGGACCTACCGTCGAGGGGAAAGCCGTGCATACAAACACCAAGAGAGATGGGCCGCCGCACGATTAAATGCCTATTTTTATTCTCTGGCAACTGGATTTGCAATGCATTTTAAAATGTATAATCTATATTATTGTATGGATAATAAATTGTGAGACTAAAAATACGTCGACATAAGTGTTGTATTACAGCGCCATCCACTTTAAAAAAGCCTCGGTTTGACTGCAGGAGCCTGGGGTCGACGGCCAAGACGCTGGCCATGCGCGCTGCTACGACTAGCTCGAGGCGACGCGTCGACCCAAGCCGTAGAATGTAGAGGGTATGGCAGCAAGCCGAAGCGAGGTGAGCCAAAACGTTGGTAATAAGCGTAGTGGCAGCATGAACTTGAAGCGAGGGTCGCCTGCGCCGAAGCTGAGACAGCATGCAGTGGTGGGCTGCATGCTAGCAAGTGTAGAATCGCGTGGATCTCGAGCCAGAGCGGTGGGCTAGCACATGGCGCCCTTGTCGGCGAGCTCGCGATGTCCAAGGGTCCATGATGACATCACGAGACGCCAACAGCCAGTCCACACGGCGCGTGAACGTGGCCACGATAGTGCGAGGTGCTGAGCTGATAGCTTCGTTCGTGTATGCGTGGAATACATGGTCGCCAGCAGCGGTGCGCAGGAGATGGAGCATCCGCTCATGCCAGCGCCTCGTGAGCTCCTCGTGTCCTGCGAGTCGCCTCGCGCTTTCGTTCGCCGGCTCAAAATGGCTCCTACAAGCAGAGGTTCGCACTGCGTTCAGCCACGTTGACAGCGCAAAGCAGGTTTGCACATCTGGCCCGTGCTCCATGAGCTGCTCCATGCCCGTGCTCCATGAGCTGCTCCATGCCCGTGCTTGGTGAGCAGTCGATGTCGGACGTTCGATCTTTGCGAATCGAAACTCGCTTCTATATTTGTATGCAGAGCGCGCTGTCGAGAGCAATATATATTCTAACCTGCTGTTGGAAAACGCAGAGCCATCCTATTCGAACGAATATTCAAATATACAATATGCGAGTCACATCCGGATGTGGGGCACGGCTTATCCGTTCGACAGAGATCGCATTGGCACACTTCCTTGCACCCGTCGGGATGTCGACCTTGGCCGCCGTCGCCGCAGCGCAGCCGCTACCAGCAGGCACGACGCGATTGTACCTTTGCCGCCATGGCGAGACAAGTACGCGCTTCTTCGTCTTCCTCATCCTTGAAGTCTGGCGATGATGCTACGGGCAATAGACTACAACCTCGAAGGCCGCTTCCAGGGTCGTGGCATCGACAGCGACCTCAACGCCCTGGGCCTAGCCCAAGCGCGGGCGCTTGGCGAAGCGTTCCGCGCCATCCCGCTACAAGGCATCTTCTCCAGCACGCTCTCGCGCGCCAGGGCGACCGCCGCGATGATCAGCCAGCACCACAATGGCGTCATCACCGGCGCGATCGATGGTGTCGAAGAGATGGGCTACGGCGAGAACGAAGGCAAGAAGCTCACCGAGAGCAAGCACTTGCTCCATGCCGTCATCGATCAGTGGAATGCCGGCGAGTTGGGCGCGGCGTGGCCGGGCGGCGAGTCGGCCATCGACGTCGAGCGACGAGGTACGGCCGCGCTGCGCGAGCTCGCACGCCGCCCGCTCGACCATGTGGCGATCGTGTGCCATGGCCGCTTCAACCGTGTCGTGCTCGCGTCGCTTTTGCACGACGACTTGCGCCAAATGGAGGCGATCGAGCAGGACAACACGTGCGTCAACGTCCTCGACTTTGACCGGGCGACCGGCACGTTTCGCGCGCACGTTCTCAACTGCACCGACCACTGGCGCTTCCTCGAACCGCCGCAGTGATACTACAATCGTTTCTATTGCTGAGATTACATACTAAACTGCATCGATGTCTGTGGCGTGCACGCCTATCTCTACCACGAGACGCGCCGGATTCTCGATTTCTTGGCCGCGGTGCCCCACGCTCGGGTTCGGCGTGACTGCGTTTTGCGTGGCTGTAGCACGTCATAAAGGTGAGCTCCATGGCAGCACCTGAGAAGGCAGACGAAGGACAGAGCATGGACGTGGCCGTCGCCTTTCCCATGATGCCATTTGCCGTATGAGCAAGGTACGATTCGACGAGCATGCAGGAGTGCAGGGACGTGGCGGGTGCGGATCAGGCCTGCATACTGACGCAGCTGAACGAAAGGCCGACAAGGTAGTCTCGTTCAACGACGAGGGTTCATAAACAAAGTCGTTTATCGCCCCTTGATCATGCGGTTCGACGCTGAGACTGTCGATGGAAGACACACGCCTGTCGCCGTGTCTTTGGGCGTCGCGCTCGCTCTACTGACTCACACTAAAGCGGTTGGCGCCAGCGCGCAGTGCGGTTTTACGGCGGAGACGTACGGAGTCGTTTGGAACGGAGCCAAAGACGCGTGGGTTCTTCCATTGTCGAGAGAATCTGCACTGCGACGTGTACATACAGTGTATGGTACAGTACATGTAGGAGCATCTCGTCGACAGCCGGACGATGTCGCGCCACTCTGGTAAGCGATGCCCAGATCCCACCCACGACGACGACCACGACCCAACTCAGATGCAATGTTGTGGCTGGGACCGTGCTCGCTCACGTTGCATTTTTCAATTTGCACTCGACCTCATGCGTGCGATCTTGAGTTTCCTTGCGACGACGATCGCGTCGGTCGCGGCCATGGGCGCCTGCTACGACACGTACGACTTCAAGAACATCGACCACCACTTTGACGTGATGCGCCAGCGCTTCTCGACCGTCCGGACCTTCCAGACGTACATCTACAGCAACAGCCGCAACGTGATTGACGCTGCGAGCGACCACGGACTTGGTATCTACGCCGGGATTTGGATCCGCGGCCCCGACTACGACAAGGACGTCCAGGCTGTCATTGATGGATATTACCGCCACCCGAACGCGGTCAAGGCCGTCTATGTGGGCAACGAGGACCTCGACAACGGCTGGAACCAGTGGCAGGTCATCGACAAGGTCAACGATGTCCGGAACCGGCTCCGCGCCGCTGGTATCAACAACTTGCGTGTCGGGTCGGTGCAGACCGATGGCGGCTGGCTCCGCAGCCAGGAGCTCTACAACGCGTGCGATATCGTCGGTGTCAACATTTACGAGTTCTTTGGCGGCTCGCACGAAGACCGCTGGAACGCGGTTGTCAAGAAGTACGGCGGTAGCAAGCTCATGATCACAGAAACCGGTTGGCCGTTTGGTGGCGGCAACTACGGTAACCAAGTCGCGTCATACGACAACGCGATCAAGCACTTCAACAAGATCCGGTCCTGGATGAATGCGGGCAACGGCGGCGAAGACGTCATGTACTTTATGTTCCACGACAACCCGGGCAAGTGGCCCGACTACGAAAAGCAGTTTGGTCTGGCCAACTCGAACGGTCAGTGGAAGTTTGACTTTGGCCCAGCGCCCAAGCCGCCATCGGGGTCCTGCTCGGCGCCCGAGTGGAACACCGACTACCAAGGCAACGATCTCTTCAACTTTGCCATCACGGGCGACATGAACAGCCTCATCACGCAGTGCTGTGCCAAGTGCACGTCGACGTCCAACTGCGGCGGGTACTCGATCTTTGAGAACCGGTGCTACATCAAGTCGGCGATGACTGGTCGTAAGGACGCGAACGGCGTCACCTCGGCGCGCCGGCAGTAAACCGATTGTGTGGTCGTCGGTCGATTGAAACTGTATGTAACGAGTATCCGTTTCACGTCTATATCATTTTTGTCGCGGCATCGCGTTTGGCATCCTCCACGACAAATTACTACTTCAGTAGTTCAGAACTACTCAAAAGAGCGATCCAATAGTCCTAGTGCCAGATGCAACAGGGATCAACGATCCACAATCACGAAATTGGTCCTGACAGGCAGAGTCAAGAATGAGGTCATGATCGGAAGTTTGACTTTGGCCCAGCTCCCAAGCCGAAGCAACCGCCGCCGCCGGTCAAGGGTTCGTGCTCGGCACCCGAGTGGAACACCGACTACCCAGGCAACGATCTCTTCAGCTTTGACATTTCGGGCGGCATGGCCTCTCTCATTACGCAGTGCTGCGCCAAGTGCCTCGCGACGTCCAACTGCGGCGGGTACTCGATCTTTGAGAACCGGTGCTACATCAAGTCGGCGATGAATGGCAAGAAGGGCGTCAACGGCGTCACGACCGCGCGCCGTCAATAGACCATCTCGGCTAGTGTAATAGTACAAGCCAGTGCGTTGGTTTGAAACGAGAGGCGTGTAGTCGTTGTAACTCTGCTCTAATGTACGCCGTCTCGTAAGCGTGAGTGTAGTAAATGCAGTGGCACGCGTGTTTTCTGTGTTGACCACAAGCAAACGCCATTGCCACAAGAAATTGTCGAGTGGCAAGCAAGAATGAAGGGCGTCCTTCCGGTCTACAGTGATCACTAAACTGGTGGACGGCGCCAGTATCAGATCGGTTCGAGGAGAGGACTTCCAGTTCAGTGGTTGGTGGCAACTCAGCGATCGAAAGGTTATAGTATGGGGAAGGTACAGTCCCTGCACGCACCTGTTTTGCAGCTTCGCAAGGCTCGATCCGACACAACAGTGCTTGAATATGCGTGTTAGTACCGAAAATACTACTGCAGCTCTCTTTGTAACAAGGTGAGCCGTCCAGCTGCCACGCCACGAGATCTCCTCCGAACGCATGTGTCACTCCGCCTCGTCGCCGGGGCCACACACGTCGTGTCGTCATTTCTTGAGTTCCATTTCGTCTTGCATCCATGTTTGTCCAAGTCCCGACATCCCCTCCACATACACCATTGCACGCGCCTCGCTACCTCGGCTTGCCACGTTGAAGCATCCCCTTGGTACAGGTCATCGCAACCAACATAGTTAGTCGAGGTTTGTCTTTTGTCGTAGTTGTTTTCCATAATCACTTTCAGTTTTGCCTTCACTCGACCACTCGGTCTTATTCAAAGCTTGCACGCTTTCTCATCACGCGCAGTTGCCGTGTTCCGGCAGAGTCGTCCAAGGACCCCTCGTTACAGGTGGGTTGACAAATGCGCTTTCGCACTGTTGGTCTCGAGCCGCGGCGACGTCAAACGAGCAAGCATGGCGTAGACTACGCGTCCAAAGCAAATCGAATGGAGCCATGAGCCTCTCTGCATTGGATGGCTGGTTGTTCTTAGAGAACGAGCGGTACGATGTGGGCACAACCAGATCAACCATTGTCTTTCAACGCGGCTAGCGATGATAGAGCTGTGGTGGCAACAGCGTGATGCTAGGTCTGGAGAAGGCTGGTGGTTGGCAGCTTCTCTAGATTTTTGGTTCGTTGCGGTATGCTATAGCCGCATCGTCGACACCGGCGCTGCGAGCGTCCACAAGGCGCCAAGAGTAAGGGCCCGCTTCCCCAATACGGACACCATGAAAGCACTATCATGGGAGGGCGAAAAGCCGATCGAAATGACCTCGTCCTTCGTAGCACCTCTTGAGATTCGCGGTGGTTGCGAAGGGTTACGAAGGACACACTTGGTGCATGCACTTGGTGCTTGTGCGTCGTTTTGCGACGCGTCATGCACGCACGTTGCCGCGCTTTGTAAGTCGACTCATCTGAGTACGCGTCAGGTCGCACCCTGTCGTTGTCTCGGTGTTCTGACACACACCAGCACGTACACCATTCCATGCGGATTTATACGCGGACGAACGTGGGCCGTTATGGATCGGCCTGCATACACCGACAGGTGCTTGCAACGACAGGTGGAACAGGGTTCGACCACGGCATTCGCATGTAATTTCAACGCTCTTTCAAAAGGCTTCACGAGAGTAGCGCATTCTTTGCTCGACTCTCGGTACGAGAATCGCACTGCTCTCCAGATGAGCAATGAGGCGTGCAAAGTGAGCAGTGTCCGTTACGACGAGGTCGCCCACAGGCCGGAACATATGTTGGACGACCGCGAACGACAAACGACAAACGACATGTCTGAATTTCCTTTTCCATCGTCGTCGAACGGTGCCACTGGAATGTTGCCGTCGCATTGTAGTACCCGGAGGCTTTGGGTACGATGTGGTAACGTCGTTGATTCTGATGAGGCTTGAGAAACCTGGATCCATCACGGCAAACTCAGATGCCTCCTTGGCAAGAGCTCAACTCGACATCAACTCTCACTTTTCATTTTGCACTCGACCTCATGCGAGCGATCTTGAGCTTCCTTGCGACGACGATCGCGTCGGTCGCGGCCATGGGCGCCTGCTACGACACGTACGACTT